CTGGCAACCAGGCCCGGGTGTACTCTGTCTCTCGCCCGAAGTTGGCTGGGATATTGTCCACCCACTCAGGGGTTTTGAATTAATGTAGATGACTCCAGACTCCAGACATCCCGCGACCCTGTGTGCAGGATAAGCGGTTTGCAAATGGATGGATGGATCTGTGAGGTGTTATTAAAGTAATGTACATAGAAACGACACTACTGTGCAGCAGGTTGTTAATTTTCATATGAATATTCTCAACCTTCTGACAATGATAACATGAACCTCTGAAAGTGTATGTGGGTGACATTAGGATCTGAAAACATAACATGTGAGAGGCAAATCAATTCAAATGACTTACCATATACTCCAGAACAAGCTGTCCCTCGTCCTCCCCCAGGTAGATGCAAAGAGCCTTTAGGACAGCTGTCCTTTTAGGATTGACATAATTTGTCTCCTGTGTTAAAGAATTACAATTATTAAATAATAAGAAATACATAAATAAGTACAGCAATTTAAATAAATTGAACAATATTTATATTACATTACATGACATGTCATTTAGCTGACGCTTTTATCCAAAGCAACTTACAATAAGTGCATTCAACCATAAAATGTAATAACCTAAATGTATAATATAACTTCATTTTTTCATCATCAAAAATATACATGACATTTTACATGTCATAAAGACAATTGGTATACATATTTACTTCTTGCAAGATCTCCAGATGTTTAGCTAGTTTCTGGCCAGCAACTCCTCCCTTCGTCTGGAAGATATACGTCAATTGGGCTAAATGGCTGTCCAACTGTGCCATGAAGGTAGATTCCAGTGGGATGGTGGTAACGCGTTGGAACTTAGCATGTATCTTATCAAAAAACAAAAAGATAAAATACAAAGTATTGGTGCAATATTTTGTTGCTAATAAATTCTAGTTTTGAACTCCTCGTTAACAAAGACTGTCTTTGATAGCATGTGTACTGGTTGGTCCACAGTGTGTTCTAGCCAGACACATTCCTATTAATCGTGGGTAATTGCAAGAGTAGGCTTTCCTTCAGACAATCAAAGAGCTGACAAGCTGGTGAAAAAAGTGGAATATGCAGGAACTTAAGAGCCGGACATTTTTCTTGGTAGTGACCAAAAACAGAGCTATAAGAATAATCAATCACTAGGTGGGATATATTTTTCTTTCAAATGTATTGTCAATATTTAGGTTACAGCAGTTACACACTAAGATTGTACAAAGACAAGAGGCGCATTGGGAAAATAGGTAGCATGTGCTTACCTCATCGACCTCAGACGACCAAAACCGTTTGCACAAAAGTTGTTGAGTGCCTACATATGATCAGTGGCAGATTGACTTTGCTGTCAGCGATTACTGCCCTATAGAGAGCAAATATACCACAGCATTAGAGTATTTAACCTGAGCAGTACTGCTGGGATCAGCATACCTGTGAAGAGTTTGTTTGTTAAATGTACTTACCAAAACAATATGAGGTCCCCAAAGAGTTCCACATCACACCAACATCAGATAGAAAAACTGCAAAAAAAATACAATTCAGGATTGGTACATTTATTTTATGAAAAATAAGTATTGTTCATTTATCATTACTGAATTTTGGCACGGCAGGCAAACCAATATTATCTTATCCATTTAGTTTTTAGCCAACATGTGGTCATGAGGTGTGGTCTCTGTTGCCTACAGAGCAGCTGCAACTTACACTTCCCCGCATTGAAGCGCATTTCCTCCGTGCTCTCAGAGCTAACGGTTACCTACATGTTTAAGCTAACGCTAGCTCATTAGTGTATAACCGAGAAAAGGCACCGCAAAGAGAAAAAGATACCGCAGTAAAGAGTTGAGCAGAGCCGCGCGGGACTCACGTAATGGCTGTTAACATTACCCATTTGGCGCCAGAGAGCAGCAAACGCACATTTTTCAAAGGGATTCACTTTAGTTCTTGTTCCCCCTTTTATTACCGCACTGATAAGTTTAAGTTAAAAAATACACTTAAAGTGGGTCCGTAACGTTAAACCTTTCTACATGCCGAGAAACCCGGGAAGGTCAGGCTACAAGCTATTAACGTTAGCTAACAGCTAGCGTTAGCTAGTCACTTTACATCGGTTAGGTTCGAATGTTCGTGGCCACAAACTCACGAGAAAGTCAAACAAGAAAAGCATCTGATGCATCACGCATTTATATTGATAGCATCAACACTAGTTAGATAATTATTTTCACTTAAATGAGTCTACTAATGTTAACCTAGCCTTAATGGTGTAGGCAACATTAAGCTAACGTTAGCAGCTATAAGCCTCAGTTAACATTTTATTGAGACAGCAGACAGCCAACTACTTTTCTTGGTGGCAACTAAATCCTGTTAAAGTGAAAATATGTATTATGAATTTAAAACGTTTACTTACTGAAAACGTAGAGCCTTGGATACGCAGACAGCCAGGAGATAGAGCAAATCCGCGTCCTCCAGGGGCGGTTTGTGGTCGCACATGCGCAGATGTGGAAGTTGAATGTGGGTTTAAAATGTACACGTGTTTTTCATGTAACCTATAAATGACGGAAATGAGCTTTTCGTAAACCATGGAAGAATGTGTTAAGCTTAATTAAAAAAGCTAATTCAATAACACGTTCAAATCAGTGAAATGACCTTGCATAAATCAAGTAATATTTAAAAGCGGTCCGAATCGTTTTTCTCCAGGAGCCAGTGGAAGGTTCTGCCCTGGTAGCGACCCAACTGCACCTTCCACCGGCTCAGGACCAGGGCGGCGCTGGTGGTGCCACCGCCCTCGGAGACGTTTTTTATGCTTGTTATTCCACATAAATGACAAATGACACAATTCTACTGGACTGTTGAATGACACATGAATAAAACACGCTGCTGTTCGTTGTAATAAAGTAACGTTATGACTTGGTAATAACTGGTGTTGTCAACACGTGACGCATCACCGATGCTATAAAGTCACGTAAGCTCCGTCACCAATAAACCACGCAAACGTCCGCAGAAACACGGAGAGACGTGACCGTTAGCTCCCACACGCGTTCCATTCAGCGTATTAAATACAGTTAGTAATAATAACCATAACTCGTGGCTAAAGTTACGCGTGTGACGTCACGGCCGCCGCTGGCATCGATCGGCAACAGGTTTGTTGTGGGCGAACTCATTTCCATTCACTCACATTTAAATAGTATTAGTATCCCTGCTTGCACTCATAATAAACACCCATTAACATGCGCCGTAGTACTAAAAGACAACATAGTTGACATGTTGTACTTACGTCTGCCGAGTATTGTTAGAATGAGACGGCAGTCCAGCGGTGATCCAACATGGCGGATCGAAAAGTCCAAATTGGAACAACTTGAGCATCTGATTGGACGCGCAAACCGTGGATCCTCTGATAAGTCGGCCGAGAATTGGAACAAGCTCCGAGGCCTCTCATTGGCTCCTGGGAATTGGAACAATTGGAACAGAGAAGAAGGATGTTGTGTGTAAAAGCAGGTTTGTGAAGATCTGTGGTTCGAGTCCCGCCTCAGGCAAGCTGCAATCTAAGCGTGTTAAATTACAGCACGACCAATGTTGGTGAACAAAAACACAGACTTAGAGAACAACATTTACAGTAAGGAATAACAAACAAAAAGAAAAAACACAGAATTAAAAACAATAATAACCTAACCTACTCTAATTTCCTTTCTGATTATTGCTGCCTTAAGTTTCCTGTTGGAATCACATTTGTTTCTTGTCAGAGTGAAATATGAGGGCAGCACATTCCAGTATGCAACAGCTGTGTGCATGATGTTTTCTTAAGTGCATTGGTTCTGGCTACAGGAAGAGTAACGTGACCACTTAGTGCCTCTCCAACAGACTGAAACCAGTTAGCTATGAAATGATTCCCACTAAAAGTCTCGGTCACACATAGTGTCTAGTGTGAAGTCCTTCCTTGGTTACACACGTCGTCCAGCCTGGCGTCTATTTATTTATTTATTTACTTTGCAGGGTCAATGCAAACTAATCAACAGTTGCACTGTAGTGAGCCAGAGAGGCTCATTTCCATGTTTTTGAGGCAGCCTGAAGTAAAAAAAACATAAAAAATCTCAAAAGGAAATCAAATTCACATTCATAGACACACGGACACAACGTATACACAAAACCAACACGCAGCAAAAGAAGAGCGTTCGACATTAAACCAGAGCATGCGTCATCTACACACAGCGCTAACTGCGCGAGGCTTTAGGCCGCTCACATTATCAACCCGCCGAGTCTTTCCTACCCACAAGTCATTGCAACGTGACGCGTAAAACCAGGTAACCAGTGAACGCAAAAGGCAAAGAACCCGTAGGGAGTCTTCCTCGTTGCACTCGGCTTGATGTCCAGCAAGGGGACGTTGTCCCTTCAGGTGCACCAGAGGCGCTGACGTTCTGAGCGAACTACAAGCAGGAAGTGAAGGAATCCCACACGTGCTGCTGCTCGGGGACTAAACCTGTTGTTGTGAACAAGAAGAGGCTCTTTAAACATGAAGTCATGAATCTAAACTCTAACATCAACTTTGCTGATAATCGATCGCATTGCAGTTAAAAAAAATGTATTAAGCATTGGTTGAATAAGTATAACGACGCCATTTTTGTGAACACTTGTATGTATGTCTGAGTCATAGGCAAAAAACACTCACAGTATTAAAACTAGAAAATACAAAAACACGTGACCAGTAAGTTGTCTGAAAAACACAATGCATGAACCTAAAAAGACTGAAAAAAACCTTATAAATAAAGTAGCCTTGTCTTTTAAGTGGTAGTTTATGAATTAATAAACGCTTCACAGCTACAGCTCAACTATTTCTATAGTATTTATACAGCACTTTTCACTTGATAGAAAATATACCTATATCCTATTGCCCATAGATGAAACGTATGTATTTTTTTTTATCTTTACAGGCAATCTTGCAGCTCAAGGCAAGGCGGAGGTCACCGGTAATGTGGGCATACCCACGATCTGACCACTGGTGGGACACAACAACAACAAGCAGTGCACGATCGGTTGTGGAGATGTCGTTTGGGAGATTGAAAGGACGATGGAGGTGCCTCCTAAAAAGAGCTGCATTAATGATGCATTTTAACAGAGGGAACGAGTGATTCTTTGAATACACCAAAGCTATATTTGTTGCAATACTTTTGTAACACTGCAGTTTGTGTTTATTGAAATCTACACTTTTATATTGTATTACATTCTCATCCATTAAATGAACCATGTAATCTCTAAAACGTGCATTTTGTGAATCATTTATCAATCATCCTCAATCAACAACCCTTTCACACTTCTGGCCCGGATTAAAACCAACCAAGTTTTTATTAACTTCCAATCATGAAGTAATTTGGATTTTAATCATATTTCATGTCGAAATAATATAGATTTGTATATGCAGCTAATCGCATCACTTGGCTGTTTAATGTACACATTTATATAAAAGTAAATTGCATTAAAAACAAACACAAACCATAAGGCAATATTTGCCTGTTAAGTGTTTAAGAAACTGAACCAGATATTTGCATTACTAAACATGTTTATTTAAACCAAAAAACAACAGAAATCTTATAAAGAAAATGAAGGTCTGTAGGTAACAACAATTGTAAAAAAAAATAATTAAAAATGACATGAAACCCCCCAAAAATGTTTTATCTTGTGCCTCCAGTACGGCCACCATGCGGCCCATGAGTCCGCTCTCATGTCCTGACACAAGGCGTCATCCATTGCCTTGCTGTGCTGCAGGAACCTCTCATCTGCCCTTTCCAGATATTGAAGGATTTCCGAGGTACCATCTCTCCTCCTTTTTCCTGTGTAGAACAATAATAACAAAAAACGAATACAGATCGTCATGGTGTTGTCATAGCATCGCAATTTTGCTCATGTCCCGTAATTAACAGTATATCAACATTATATAGTATATAGCAAGTTAATATCAGACTTACTTTCTATTCTATTCTAAACTTTTATAAAAAGACATTTTTGCTTTTCGTTCAAGGTAATATAATTGAATTTTGACATAAAGCATTTTGTATTGCTGTTCAGAAGTTAAATTAAGAAAAACAGATATAAAACAATGTTTCAGTGCATGACAGTAATATACAATGTGTGTAATATATGTAATATATATATATATATGTAATATATATATATACATATATTACAGACACATCTCAATGTTTGCATAGTGTATGCTGTGATAATTCGAACATACCCCGTTCTGAAGATGCTGCTCCAGAGCTGCTACACGACGGCGCGGGGGAGCTGCAGCCCAGCGGTGGCGGCAACTCAACGTCGTCTTCACGGTCGTTGATGGCAGACAGTTCTATAAACATAAACACAAGACAACAGTGCTTTAACAGCTAAGATAAGAACAAGTCAAATAAAAACTGAACTTACCATGATCAGTGCAACTTTGCTGCGGCGAATCATCCAGCATTGACTCGAGCATTATTGTGGCCGAGTTCAGCGGCCCGGTCACCTGGCATGCCGGCCTATCGCCGAGAACACAGTCGAGAACGTTGAAATGTGGATTTTGGCGTGGGCGCCCATCTAACTTACTCTGGACTTCTGAAGAGGACCAGAGTGCAAGAAAGCAGCTTGTTTCCTCGTCTGACCAGTGCTGTTTTTGCCAAGTAGCGTCCATTGTGTTGTTGTTAGCTCGATTAGCTGCTATCAAAAAATGGCGGATCACAAAGTTTCTCTCGTCTTGTTGGTCACGGTAACCATTTATTCAAAAGAGACGGTTACCCGTCATGGGCCTCAGAGTGAAGGTATCACCTCCCTGACCCGGACACTGTGTATGCCGGCCGCCTCCACAAGGACATCACACACCTGGTCACTCTCTGTTTGTTCCACTGCCATAAGGAAGAAGAATCAGGACAACTAAAACCCAGATTAACAGACTGAGGAATAGCTTTCTCCACAGAGCGGTTCCCTCCATCTTCACCCCCACCCAGCACCCCACCCGGCTCTCACCGACAGTGCTGCGGGGACAAAAGTAGACAACAACACGTCACTTTAACAAAACACCCTTTTCACGTTTAAGCTGTTGATGCCTGGGTTTTCGTACAGTCTGTACACGTGCAACATCCTCTGTCCAGAAACCCTCACATCGACACAGGAAAAACTGTCAGTGAAATAAAAATCATACCATCATCACCATGCCAACGTGATTTTACAAGCCATCTAAAAGCAGCACAAACCGCCATAGGAGCCCTCATGAAATAGTTTAAAAAGTTATTAAAACAACAAAAACTGGATAAATAGAGATTAATTCAAAAGTGTGATCCGTACAAATCCTACAAATCCTATATTATGAAAAGATAATGACAGTGAATCACTATCATAATCATGTAAAACTAGTACACGATGAAGCAAAGAAGAGCTGGAGGGAATCATCAGCTTCCACCAGTCCACTATAATAACAGACACAACTTCCGGTATTGGATTTTGCACACAGAAAGGGCGTCTCCTAAAAAACACATGCTATGAACAAAATGAAGATATTAGCTATTCTTAAAAAGGGTATATGATGGGCCTGTCAGTTAGTCTTCTTTAGAACTATGAGGCTGTCTATACTTTCATGGAGTCTACATTTATATCACAATTGTGGACCTTTTTTGACTGTGTGACACACTTTATTAGTTACAGTTCTGCCACTACTAGGGGCTAATTGATACAACCTAGTCAGCACTATTGAGAAATATATATATATCAACATAGCTGGTTCAACTTTAACAGTCGTTGTGCTTTTATTTTGAAGGGGAGTCATGCGCCCCTCCCTCGCGCCGCGCGGCTTGACGCTCCCCTCGCAGCGGACGTGCGGGAGCCGAGGAGGAGCCGAGGAGGAGAACCTGTTCACAGTTTCACTCAAGTTCTGTTCCGCCAACCCGGACCGCGCTCCCGGGCCATGTCCGGGTCGTACTGCCGGAGCTTGTACCCGTTCAGCGGGCAGCAGCACCAGCAGGGACTGGGCTTCGAGGTCGGGGACGTGATCAAGGTGGTCCAGGCTCTGCCCGGAGGCTGGTGGGAGGGAGAGCGGGATGGAGCCACAGGGTGGTTCCCCTCGAGCTACGTCCAGGTCCTGGAGGTAAGAACCACCGTCTTCACTCTCATGACTCTTTCTTTGATTTCAATAGGTGACGTTGACTTTTTGTTAAAAGGGTTTATTTCTTTTTTATTTTCCATAGTCTTTCTCACACGCACACACGCGCACGCGCACGTGCACAGGTAGGTTGCACTGATTAATGGGTTTCCCGTGCTGTGCTCATCACATTAACTGGAACCTTCCCACAGCGCCCAGTGGCTGCTCACTTCCTCATTCCACACATTCCTGTGAAACCCTCGGTGTCCCCTCCACCCGCGTCCCCATCGCGTAGCTACAAGGTGCACGCGGCCCACTTTGGCTCTCTGATCGATGTGATTGACTTGTGGTTCAGTTGGTGACATCACCCCCCAGGACTGACGCTTTGATCAGAGTTCTGAGGCTGAATGGGGAATGAAAGAATGCTGGTATATAAGCTGTTTGGTTGATATTAGATGTATTTTGGAGAAGAGGGGACAGTTTATTTGTTAATGGCAGAAAGTTTCGACTACGTGTAGTGTGCGTTGTATTCTCAAATGCGAGTCAACGATTTATGTTGGTTACTGAGATTGACATCTGAGAAAATCTAAGGGTAATCAGTTTGAGTAAAGGTGCTCCACGTAATTACTAAGGATGCCAAATACATTTAATTTAGAAAAATAAATGGCAGGTATATAAATATGACTCAAATCTATTAAAAGTAAAGAAAGTTGGAGAAGCAGTGATTTCATATTCACTGTTTAGCAAGTGAATGCTCTGGAAAAAAGCAAAAAAAAAAAAACTTTAAGTGTGTTTAAGTATTCAAATTATTTAAAATTAAATCTAAATGAATAAATGGTAAACTAAATATTATATTAAAATAATTTAAGTGTACATAATTATACTTTCAATGCAATTTATTTTTGCATGTCTGTCAACATGTCCTATATTATAGTCAGAACATTAGACCAGTAATACCATATATAGATAGAACATACACGTAGAACAGTGATATCGTATATAGATAGAACATACACGTAGAACAGTGATATCGTATATAGATAGAACATACACGTAGAACAGTGATATCGTATATAGATAGAACATAGACGTAGACCAGTAATACCATATATAGATAGAACATACACGTAGAACAGTGATATCGTATATAGATAGAACATACATGTAGAACAGTGATATTGTATATAGATAGAACATACACGTAGAACAGTAATATCGTATATAGATAGAACATACACGTAGAACAGTAATATCGTATATAGATAGAACATACACGTAGAACAGTAATATCGTATATAGATAGAACATACACGTAGAACAGTGATATCGTATATAGATAGAAGATACACGTAGAACAGTGATATCGTATATAGATAGAAGATACACGTAGAACAGTGATATCGTATATAGATAGAAGATACACGTAGAACAGTAATATCGTATATAGATAGAACATACACGTAGAAACAGTGATATTGTATATAGATAGAACATACACGTAGAACAGTAATATTGTATATAGATAGAACATACACGTAGAACAGTAATATTGTATATAGATAGAACATACACGTAGAACAGTAATATTGTATATAGATAGAACATACACGTAGAACCAGTTATTACCGTATATAGATGGACCATCGCCGTAGAACCAGTGATATCGGATATAGATAGAACATACCCGGTAGAACCAGTGATATCGTATATAGATAGAACATACACGTAGAACAGTAATATCGTATATAGATAGAACATACACGTAGAACAGTAATATCGTATATAGATAGAACATACACGTAGAACAGTGATATTGTATATAGATAGAACATACACGTAGAACAGTGATATTGTATATAGATAGAACATACACGTAGAACAGTGATATCGTATATAGATAGAACATACACGTAGAACAGTAATATCGTATATAGATAGAACATACACGTAGAACAGTAATATCGTATATAGATAGAACATACACGTAGAACAGTAATATCGTATATAGATAGAACATACACGTAGAACAGTAATATCGTATATAGATAGAACATACACGTAGAACAGTAATATCTTATATAGATAGAACATACACGTAGAACAGTGATATCGTATATAGATAGAACGTACACGTAGAACAGTAATATTGTATATAGAGAACATACACGTAGAACAGTAATATCGTATATAGATAGAACATACACGTAGAACAGTGATATTGTATATAGATAGAACATACACGTAGAACAGTAATATTGTATATAGATAGAACATACACGTAGAACAGTAATATTGTATATAGATAGAACATACACGTAGAACAGTAATATTGTATATAGATAGAACATACACGTAGAACAGTAATATTGTATATAGATAGAACATACACGTAGAACAGTAATATCGTATATGGATAGAACATACACGTAGAACAGTAATATCGTATATAGATAGAACATACACGTAGAACAGTAATATCGTATATAGATAGAACATACACGTAGAACAGTGATATCGTATATAGATAGAACATACACGTAGAACAGTAATATCGTATATAGATAGAACATACACGTAGAACAGTAATATCGTATATAGATAGAACATACATAGTGTGTGTCCGATGTCATAAGGAAAGCGATTGATGGTGAAACAAAGGAGCACTTCTCCATTTCCTCGTTCTGCTGCTTCACTGGAGCCCCGAGGGGAACCCCACTGGTGTCAGATCCATTCAGGACCCAGACAGCGCTTTGTACTGGTGGCACAGCACACAAGGCACCTCTGATCGGTTCCTGTTGTCATCCTCAACGTCTGTGTTCTGCAAACTGCTCGATGAATTATTCACAACCTGTTGCCACTCACTGCACTTACTGACCGTATTACGCATGAAGAAAGAGATCATTTCTTGTTCCTCTTCGAAACCAAAAGGGGAAATACCATTATCTGATAATTTTCTTGATACATGTTGCAACACCTCATTTTAAAGCAGCGTTACATGACGGAAAGACATAAATCCGTTTGTATGAAAGTAGCTGACAGTATGTGGCCTCTGGGGCGGTCAAAACTGCTCAAAAATGACGTTTGAATACTCCCTCTAAAAAAACACATATATTTGAATATATTCAAATATCTGGTTGTGCATTAGACAATAACAGGAAAAATGTATACGTGACATAACTACTTGTACAGGTAATTTATTTAAGTTTAAACATATTTAACAACATATTACCTACACAAAAATATGTAAATCAACTAACGGCCACGACCGCAGACCTCTCTAAACCGCTCAAGTTCAGGAGAAGCGTGCCGTGACTTCTCAGCCGTCATTGGCGGACTATGAGGACGCCGGATGGCCTCTGATTCATGGAGGGAGATCTCCACCAACGAGGGGAACAAAGTCGTGGAGGAAACTACGGGACAAATGTGTCCTTGATGAAAAGCAGCAGTGTGGATGCACGGGGCAATAAAGTCTATGATCAATAAATAAAGCAACCAGCGACTTCCACACACAAAGACGTGACTCTCCAGGTCGTCTTCAACAAAACACGTGACTCCACCTGTTGTTCTGGCGGCGTTCTGCCTCGACACAACCTTAACACTGCCTTCTTCCCCCACTCACAGATGCCCCCCACCCCCTCCCTTTCAACTCTGCCCCCCTCCTCCCTTTCTAACCCTAATTCTTTCCCCCACCATCTCTCTCTTTCTCTCTCCCACCCAATCCCATCATTTCAAAACAAACCCCTCCATGGAGGGAATTCCTACTGTAATGTTTGATGAGACCTATCAATTAATAACTTCTTAGTTTGAAGGAAAAACATTGTCTCCCTACCGCCTCACCCAATTCCATAATTTCAAAATAAAAGCCTCAATGATTATCAGTACCTTAACCATGAAGCTCAGAATGAAGCTGTTTTATTGAAATACTCTCTGAAATACTACTACTAATATAACTAGTACTACTAACACTGCTACTGCTACTACTAGTAAATACGGGACAAACCCCGTCCCGTATTGAAAACGTGACGTTTTATTTTATTTTTAAATACGGGACGATTCCGTATTTTTAAGGGACGGGTGGCAACCCTAAACAAAGCGATAGCATGGCCAATTACTTGGGCAATTATTTATTTGACTAATCAATTACTCAGACAAAAAAACAGCATTAAAATTAAACTTTTATTTTCAACCTTTTGAAGTTTATTCATTAAATTATTTCCATCATTGTAGTGCAAGTTAAATACATTTACACACCACACTTAAACAGCTTTAGATGACCAAGTACTATGAAATAACTGACACTAGACATTGAAAAGACCAGAATATATACATGACCTGTTGCTGTCCCACACCACATGCTCTGTGAAATGCTGGTCCTGCACAATCTGCTGGAGGTTCATTAAATAAGGCTAGAAATCCGTGTTGGGTGGGTGCATCCTCACCTGAGTGAAATGTTCTCAGGACGCCTGAGAACATAAGCAGGGGCCCAGTGTGTGTCACAGTGGATCTGAAGGAGACACTTGAGATGTTCACGTTAAGGGCACATGAGCAGATAGTAATTGTGTGGACAGTGCACAGCAATGTGTGACTGAGTACATGTCCTCCCTCCTCGTGTCTGAAGTGTCTTCGCTTCAGGCTCCCACATCTGCCCGAACCAAAACAAGCTTTCCCAAATAAAGATAAGGTCCACATCCCCCATCGCTCTTCACCCCTCTCCCTGTCTCACTCCCTGTCTCACTCTCTCCCTCCAGGGACTCTCTTCTCCTCTTGCTGCATGTACTCAGTCATATATCCTTCTTCTCTCTCTGGGTTGATTAGTTAGCGGCTGACCCTACATGTGAGGAACTTCTGCCTGGTCTAACAGGCTCTGCCTCAAACCTCCGGGGTCCCTGCTGGGGCATATTCATATTTATTACAGGAGTTACTGCTAGACTCGTTGCGTCATTGTTTCAGCTCTTATGTCCATAGAGAAACACATTTGACTGAAGGTGTAAAGACGCTCAGATGGTCAAACTCTGGGTTTAGAGAGACTCACACATCACTGATGAGCCAGCAGCCAGCCAGCTTGAGCTGCTGGCGTGAGGTCGGCTACCATGTGAGGCTGCAGCTGCCGAAGCCCACAGTCGGAGCCAGGTGGGTGATTTCTGGGTTCTTGGTTTGTGTCCGTGTGGACATCAGTATGCGGTGGACAGGTAGACAAAGTGTTGAGCAACGAGTAGATGCAGTGAATGAGTGTGTTGGAACCGCTGGAGGCTCACGTGCACTGTGCACCTTACTGCTCATCCAGGAGAAGCTCCAGACGCTCTCCGTCCGCTGCTCTTCATGGTTTGTGGAGCGTGTGCACAGCTGGAGTTTGTCTACAGCAGCGTAGTGTAGTAGACCTTCATACTGTATTTGTTCTGGAGGGACTAAACGCAACAAGCTAAGACTTAAAACATCTGTCACCATCAGGTAAAACTGCTACAATGTGATATCCTCAAGCAGTTCATATCAACGTCACACGTATCCTTGTCTTTGTTAGAAGAACTGCTCAAGCTGAATAAGGATTATTAGAATAGAATACAAGTACTTTATTGATCCCCGAGGGGAAATTCAAGATCCAGGTAGTTCCTGACAATATACAAACACAATATAGACATGCAGCTAATCTATTAAAAGGGTTATCAAACACACATTAAGAGTTGAGGCTGGGGTGGAGAGAGTAGACAGTAGTCGGGGGGGTTGTGCAGAGGGCCAGCATAGCCAGTAAACATGGCTCACTACAGAACTGAGTTTTCCTACTACTGTGTGTGTAGTATCTGTGTGTATTGTACTTCACAGCGGTTACAGGTGCGTCACATCCCATCACAGTGGAAAAGTCTGAGCAGCCACACAAATCCATGTTTGCTTAATCCACATTTCTGCCTGAAGTTGCCAAAGAATTGCTAGACATGGATTACTGGTGAAGGTGACTCACGCTAGAGAAGCAGCCTGATTCATGGCTCGTGGTCACATCCACATCCCCGTGGCCATGTGGAGGAACCTCTGGACGGCTGCTGTGACGGACCCAAACAGACCCTCCTCTTTCCAAACACAGAGGGGTCACTAGAGGTCAGAACACAGATAACAAGACGCAGGACTACAGAAGCTTTTTCACACACACTTGAAACTACAGCAAGCACGTTAAATCACACAAAACACACAAAGACGCACAGACGGTGAGTCACTGAGGACATGAGGACAGCATCTCACATGTCATGTGATGACCTGCTGAGAGCCCTGACGCAGCAGGCTGTTGTTTCTTGAGGCTGGAAACGGATCCTCTCTTTGCGTCTAAAAGCAAGAGCGGATTATTCTTTTTTTTCAGCGATTCTATTATTTTATGAATTTCAAGAATAACAAAGTAACTACTCGTAATGTTTGTGTTTGGAATCATGAAACTCTGTCCTGGCAGTTGAGTTCCTCTCCTCTGTCCCATAATGTAAAGTCAATTACTTCACAGTCCGGTTACACCATGCCCTGCGTTTGTACTTCCTTTAATGCCAGTAAAGAGGAAAGGAGCCAGCTGTTCTCTCCTCTTCATTCTGCCACTCTTCTGTTTTGTGTGTGAAAAGACAATACAAATATGTGTAATGATAAACATTTAACATATGGTTCGGTTCTGAAATTCTTTTCTTGTTGCATTTTCACGATTAGGCAGTGGTTGGAATGTTTGCTTGGAGCGGCGTTACAAGTTAAACCATAGACGTGTGTAACGATTCATTCACTGGATCGATTAATCGGTTTATATTCCTGCGATCCAACTGAATCGATCTGTGCTCCGCAAATCGGCATTCCGGACGACATATATCGATTACAAATCGATTGAAATGGTACATAATCGATTGTATCGATACTTGGAAACTGCACATCGGATTTAAGTATAAAACGGCGTGGATGTTTGTTTGTTTGTTTGCTTGTTTATAATATTCATAGTTAATTTAAACCTGATTTCCTTACCAGAAACAACAGGGATCTCAGACACTTTGCCTGCACTGTCCAGTAAAGTTACTGAATCGATTTCAAGTCACGGAATCGAATCGTTCTAAATGAACCCAGATCGTCCATGAATCGAATCGGCGACCATGAATCGTTGTTAAAATGAATCGTTACACCCCTATGTGTAACATAACGTGTTCCACTCGACCACAGTGCCACATGATCACCTTCTAGAGGATGAACGCAGGTTCATACGTCTAGCGGTGCAGATTCAGACATCACTTTATTTTGTATAAGTCAAATGCTTTCCTCTGTCCCAGTGCGTCACATCAGCCAACGTGATCTCCAAAACCTCTTCGTAAAAATGTGGACGAAATATTTGACATAGAAATTTGTAACAATACATAGGAACTGGCGGTGGTTAACCACGCCCCCTGAGTGAACGTCTCTCCGCCATGTTGGATGTTTTGAGGGGGTTAGGGTTAGTATTCTATTCTTACAAGTTAACATTGATTTCTCGTTAAAAACGCAATCATAACACGTTTATTTGACATGGTCAGACTTCACAAAGTGTGTTTACGGGGCGCAGGTCCCCGTTCACTTTGAACAGGGTGACGTCATCAGTTGCAGTCCGTATTTATTTAGTATGTATCACTACGAATGTGTATCTTCAAGATTTTCCTATACATTTTTACGAACAGGTTTTGGAGATCAGGCTGGATCAGCAGAAGACCAAACCAGCTCCACTGTGTCCACATAGCTGTCTCCATGGGAGAGCTCCCTTTTTTTTAGTGTGGATATACTAATATACTATATATATACTGAAATACTGAGCTGAATTTGGTTTGAGATTTGAATTTTTTCCCTTGAAAGGTTATTCGTGGAATAGTAATATCACACCATCACAAATATCATTGATGGTCTTAATGGTTACGATCCGGTAGATCCATAAATAACCTGTTATGGGATTAGAGTAACTGAGAGAGGACTCATTGGACGCATAACGAGTCCTCTCTCATGTCCACAAGCGTTATGGCCAGTAGGAGGCCGTTAGCAGGTGACAGATATCTGTTCCATCACGTGGTGCTTTACAGTCCACATTAACCATGTTTACTTCTTGATGTCCACTTGGGGGCTTTTATCTTTTTCCTTACTGTCACTTGTCCAATTATAGTGAAGATGTAAGAAATATAAAAAATGTCTGACCCCTTTTCCAGTTAAAACAGACTTATCGTATTGTGAGATGCGTGTAGTGGTAAAAACATTCTGTAAATAATTGCCTTGTGCTAAAAGTCAGGTCGCAGTGGTTGACCCTGAGATGTAGAGATAGAAAGATTTAGGGTTTGCAGCTGTGTTTGGGGAAGGGGGTCATCTCGCTCTCACGGACCTTCGATCAGAGGAGCATGGTGTGTTACCCTCAGCTTCACCTGAGTTCTTATCTCAACTTGATTTGTGGCTTCTCGTAACTGGCGCTAAGAACTGTCGGCAAGTGTATAAAAACTCAGCGCTTTCACTGCTCGGGGACGCCATTACACAGAACGCTGAGATACGTGCTGGTGTGTTGGACCTCCTGCTTGCAAGCAATAGATAGAGACAGATATCTGTGGAGAATCCTTTTCTCTTCTAAATAAATGTTAACTTTAATTAATCAACGTGCTGGATCCTTCTCATCAACCAACTCGGGGGGATCGGAGATCCTGACAGTATATACAATAGCACAAATTAGCTGCAGAGGGTCCCAAAACCCTCACATCGGCACAGGAAAACCCTCCTTAGTGAGAACGGCAGAGGAGGACCCCTCTCCCCCACTCAATGGATGTCATGTGTACACAATGAACAAGGTAAAAGACACGTTCAATTCCTATCACACAAATGATTCACATATTGAGAGTGAATGAGGTGAAAATCCTCAAAGCCTCCACGACATCAGCCAAAGAGACAGAGGTGGACAAAGGACTGTGTGCTGTGAGTAAATCATGGGAAGCCTCCACCTGAGGAGAGCAGGGTGTTATCTCTAGTGAGGACGTGGACAGTCGGTCATTGGGGGACTTTATTCATCATTTGCATTCCCACTTTCCTGATATGGAGGAGAAATCGGCACAGCTGAATGGGGAGAGAAACATTTTGTTCTCCTCCTCTTCAGTAGGACAGATTTTGCAGTAACCTCTCGCAGACGCTTCAGTGACTTGGCACTGACCCCAATAACCAAACTTTAGCTGACAGGGAAACCCACTCTTCAAACAGCATCACCCCCGTGTGACGGTGGTCTCAGCCTGTTGTTTCCCTGCTAACCAGTAGCAGATGTGTGCCGTCAGCCTGCACGCTCTGCTACGTCCTTCAGCTCCATGCCGCGTGCTCCTTGTTCTTTGTGAGGCAGCGGTGGTAGCGCAGCTTGCTCTGCTACGACGTCACTGGTTGCCAGTTGTGAAATACTTGAGGAAATGAGAACCTCATTGAACCCAAACTGAGCAGTGCACATTTCATCTACAACCCTTCACAGGAGGCAGAGTGGACAAGCGCAGATTTAATCCACAAAGGTACAAAGGCAGTAGGCTAGTCGTGTCCAGGAAACAGGCAGGAGATCAGTCTTCAGCAAGAGGTCAAACAGGAGGTCATCATAACGCTCAGACACAAGACTTCACAAGGACAGAACACACACGGGTGTGTGGGGATGAGTGAGCGTGCACAACAGATGGAACGAACCAACTAGACAGTGAACGGGGGAATTTGGGTCCAGATTTGGTGCTCAGGGGAAGGGGGGCGCTGCATCGTGGCACCGATCCTCTGGGGTTTTAATTGTATTTGATCGTATTTTGATCTCCAGCAGTTATTCCAATGAAAGAGTCTTTTTCTGCCGATGGAACATGTTTCTAATTCACTTCCTGTGTGCAGCCGGGCCTGTTTGTGGTTACTGACTCATTGTCTCTTTTGACAGAAGACAGCCTCTCTGAGTCAGCTACCTGTTGAAGACCCCCTGCCTCCGCAGTGGAGATGCTACACGTCTCCGCAAGGGCGCCAATACTACGTCAACACCACGAGCAACGGTGAGAGCCGAGGACATGTGTCAGTCCCTAGAACCACAGAACCACAACCAAGACTTTACATTCTGCTCATGCTTATCACCTGCTGACTCCAGCGACCCACTCAATGCATTTCCCTCTGTATAGCAAACAAAGGCTCCATAACCGGCTCTTATGACATCTGACCAGTCAACGTATTCATAATAGAACTCTGACTACTTAACACACACATTCCTATTCCAAATATGTAATTATGGAGAGTCAGAACCAAATGTAGACCCCACATGTTTTTGTCTTTGCATCCGATATCACAGATACTACTGAGTGGTGTTTTGAATGGTGATTGGGGATATTTGTACTTTGCCTTACCACTGTGACCTAGTAGGAAGGTTCCCTGGTTCTTTCTTATCAAAGTGACTGAAAAGCACCATGCAAAGGATTAAGAGGAACAGACTCCTGACATTAATCAGGACTTTAAGTTGGTCACTTTACATAAAACCATTTCCTGACTCGCTACCCTGTTACACGTAGATTGAAAATAAAGGCAGATCTTTAAGAAGAAGGTTCCATCGAGGAGCTTGTACTCATCATGTCATGCAGGCGGGACGGTACCAGGGAGAACGGCTGTGCCTTGTGTCTGCACACAATCCCCACTCAGTGTGCACTCACACACACACACAGAGTTTAACACAGCACATCAACATAGGCTGCTTCTCCCTGAGTGAACACAACCTGACTGACCATACCAGTATCTCAATGTCTTCATGTTGGGAGGCTGATCTTTAGCAGTAACAGATCATAATCCAGAGGGAAGGAGTCATAAATAACAAGAGTAGAACGCTGTTCCTCAAAGGGATCCTTTTTCAGCATTTTCCGGCTGAGAAGATACGTAAGATTAGGTAAAGTCCTGCGTGTGCGTTGCTGCAGTAACAGAGCAGCGGAGCTCCTGCTTCCTGTGTTGCTGTGGTTCTTGTGGTCTGCAGGACTCTTGTCTCAGCCGGACCAGTGTGCTGCTCTATAAACACTCAGCACACAGACCCCCCTCAGGTTACACATGTGTTCTTACACACAGTGTCCTGCCAATAAACTTTATTGTCTTTATTCAAAAGTGTAAAATATAAAACAATTAGTTAACATTTTTAAAAACTTTTACTGATGTCTGTCACACTTGTGACCTTTGACCCTCATCACCGAGGCAAAGAGTCCCAAAAACTCTGCTGGGAGGCATATATAGGCTACTCCTAAAACCTGAATAATAACAGTAAAACTCACTTGGAATAGTAAATATTATATTCACACAAGCAATAGCAACCTTTGGATATTGTTAAATGTAAAGTAATAGTGGCACATGAGACCTTAACAAGGACTGTCCCATGTGGGATGAAACAGTCAGCTGATCACAGGAAAGAAGAGGAGGTAGCTAATGCATCCAGGCCAAGTGTCATATGGTCATGAATAAAATAACTAGGCCACTGTCAGCGCCTCCCGCTTCAGAAGGGGGGATTTCTTGGATGACTTGTAGCGTGGCCGGAGGACACTGAGCTGTTGGCTGTTTTCATACGTACATGAAGGCTCTGCTGACGGATGAACTGATGCTTTCTATCTTTGATTATGACATCATGACAGTCTTGAAAAGAGTAGAGTGGCTTAATCGAGCTGATTTTGGCGGAAGCAGATCAAGAGCTTTTGATCTAAAACGCTAAAACGGACAAAACGCAGACAGGACGGGGACCGGGACCTCACAAACACACGGGAAAGACATTCAATGACGGGACAAGGGACAAGAGACACACATGGGACGGTGCAGGTGATTGGACACGATCAGGGACATGGCAGACAATCACAGGGGATGACAGGACAAGGCAGGAAGTAAAGTGAACACAAGAGGCAGAAAACTACAAAGTAAACTGGATCACTGGATCAGGAGCTGTGACACAAACAGAAACCATCAACAATGTGCATTCCAGGAGCCAGTTGCCAAGGACCTTTACGCGTCCCACCCAGATGTCTGACAGGATGTCCCTCCAGATGTTTGAGGGATGTTTCATTCATAAGGTCTACCAAGTGCTTTCAAGCAGGCACACTGATCTCCATGTTAAATGCTATATACATCTTCATTACTCTTCATTGGGCAGAGTAGACATGGTCCCATATCCCCTGTTTCACAGTGTTGATTTGTTGTGAGTGCAGTGCAGAAAGAGCAGAGCCGGTCAAAAAGACCCGAATGAATAAGGGCTCTGAACACGGCGGCGGCTCCGCTAAGGGCTTGTTAGGTGGGAACAGTGAATACAAGCCCGTACAAATCAAGCAGCGCATGAGCTTCTTCAGTGCTCACGCGTTTTCTTCACTCAAACGGTAAGAAGCTACAAATGGAAACGTATTTGTTTCCATTTGGTGAAAATAATACATAGACTGTTTTAGTACTCCAGAAGGCATCAGCTGAAGCTGCTGTGACGAAGGCGAAGGGTCATGTGGCCTCTGGGCGCATTCTCCCTCACACACGCCTGCTACTTAAGGTTGTTGTGGATTCTGGTCATGATGTGAAAAACATGCTGTTGGTCGATGGCGCATCACACGTGACACGTCTGAGCACACTGGTCATGTGACATCGGGATAAGACTTTCCAGTCACCGGGCAACGGCTACCTCTCCAACACTCCACCTGTTGGTCAACGCTTGCTTCTTGTGTGTCATGATATGTATTTTTTCTTTCTTTTTTCTTCTAAATTGTGAACATAATTGTGATGATCTTCTTGAAGCACTAAACTCCTGTAGCAAACTAATACTTGCATGTTTTAACCAGCTCTTAGTCCTGGTGGTTGCCAGCGTTCTCGTCGATGTCTTGCAATGAGAAAGCGTGTGTGTATATAGTGTGTTGTCCCTGTGTTCTTCTTCTTGAACTGAAATCTGATTCATGTGTAAGTGTCCTGACTTTGTGTACCAGCGGACAGAATCAGGGTACTGATCATAGCAGCTGTACTACCGCTGACTGAAAGAAGGGCCACGTTCGTGCCTGCAGAGGGAATCACTTCTTCTTATTGTTGCCCAATAGGAACAGAAACTAAGAATCTAATATTGTCTCCTCTCTTTGTCCTCATTGCTCAGAGACCACATGGGAGAGACCGTCCAGTGCACCTGGGACCCCCAGGACCTCCTCCCGACACAAGACCTCCCTGCCAACAGGTCGCACACACATGTCGCATGGTCTTCCACGCCTGGTTCTGTGTTCTATGATTTCCACAGCAAACACTCATCTCATGCCGCGTCCCTCTGCAGGCAGATGCTCACAGGCTGGAAGCAGCATCCATTTCTATCACTTCTGATCCAACACACCGCAACACTGTGGACGCACACAAATGTTGTTACTTAGAGATCAGCTATCAAACGACCTTTTTAGATAGCTTCGTCTGTAGCAGCTAACCCGTAAACTAGATGTTGATTCTTCTACAGCTAAAGACAATCCAGCTCTGTCTTTGCTCTGGATCGGATCTTGGCTTAGTTTTACTGTTCCTGGATCAGCAGAAGGTTACAGTGCATGTGCAGACACCAGGAAGTGAAACTCTCTCTTTCGCCCCCTCTCTCCCTGATTCCCCCCCTCCAGTGAATGGGTTTCACTCAGGTGGGAGTCCCTTGCATCATGGGGAACATTCCCACAGCAGCCTGGTTAGGAGGAGCAGCACGGTGCCACAGGTAAAGCTGTCTGACTGTTGTTCCTCTTGCTTTGCAGCGCGTTACGTGTTACCGTAGCAGTCAAAGACATTTACCGTCCAATCAGGGCGATTAAGTGCGGATGGCAGGATTCATCCCTGATCCATAAAGTTAGTGGAGCTCTATCCACTCACAGCTACCCTGCTAGAAGGGTCTTTTTCCTGACCGCCAAAGTGCACAGGCCTCTAGCTGCAGTATGCAGGGGGGACTCATTCCAGACCACGACCATACGGCCGGGCTTTGGAACTCTTTAATTATTTGAATCTGTAGCAAAAGGTTTTAAGGCTGCGTTCTTCTGTTTGCGGGCTACTTGAGACCTTTTTGACATTCTAAAGTGGATAATGGATAACATGGGAGCCCATAGTACACAGACACACACACACACACACACACACACACACACACACACACACACAGAGAGAAAGCAAGTAGTGCTGTTGTGTTTCTGGCCAGGCACGTAAAACAAGGCCATATTGTGCTTAATAAGGTACGAGAGGCTGTACTTTATCGTCACCGCGAGGGTGTTGCTGCTATAAATAGGAAGTTAAAAGCTGCCAGAAAATAGTTGTAGCCACAATACGTTGTGTATCACATTCATTTCCGTAGTCTAGAGGAAATAGTGCATAGCAGCAGCCACACGGCGCTGTGAACATCACATTTGGTGGCCTAGTGCGAGAAGTTGGTCGATGATCAGCGAGGAGATCAACACTTATTTGTGCGTCATCTGAAAACCTCCCAGGTCTCCCTGCAAGATGGGTCACCGTCTCATTCACATCACTCATGACGTCCACTTGAATTGTCCTCTTTAGCTAGAAGGTGTCCTACAGCGGCTGGCAGAAACCGAGCATTTGCGGCGTTTTGGCTCTTTTTCTGGCGATCGCCACCGAAGTTGTGAAGAAATGACAACTATTGGTCGCGCTGCTGCAGGTCCCTCCTCTGCTTCTGGAGTCTCTTTTCTTGGCATTATGTTGCACATTTTGTAAATACGATAAATCAATGTTGTGCATAAAAAAGAAGAGTGACTTACATAATATCTATAAAGCTATCTAATATCTATTTTATTTGTTTCCTGGCAGAGCTGAAGCATAAGCAGCATCACACTAATAATATACCACAATATACCTCACCAGACCGCCATGTAGCTTAACGTTCAATTACCTCGTTTGTAGAACAGTAAAACTGCCTTAAATTCTCTGGCGATCTTTCTGCATCTCTCTTTCTCTTCATTAAACATGACAAACATCAGTAAACAGCTGGACAAGGCTTTGAAATCACATGTCGTCAGAGGTGTCAAAAGTATTCACATTCATTACTCAAGTAGAAGTACACATACTAGGGTTTAAAAAGACTCCTGTAGAAGTATGACTCAAGCTTTTTACTTAAGTAAAAGTATAAAAGTACTGGTTTCAAAACTACTTAAAGTATAAAGTAAAAGTAATGTAAGAAATTCCATTAAGGACAAACTCTTAATGTGTAACCTCGCTCACACAACACGTCAGTCCGTCACCATGTGATCAGAAGGTGCCTGCAGATCACGTGACCTGCCGTTGGGATGGTGGAAACATGGCGATATTCAAAGACACAACAACAAAACAACAAATGTATCTAATTAACTTAAACCGATAAAACCACAACCCATTTCCCAGTGACACGAGTCACACACACATTGCTCGCATTGATTCGGTAGACTGCAGCGTCTCCCCCAGGTTTACTACCTCATGGGGGGCGCACCCCTGTTTATAATGATGGGAAACACTGAACTGGCAGCGGCCGGTTATCAGTATTTTCAGGCTTCAAGAGCAAATACAGAATCGCTTTGTGTTCATTTCTCAAGCCGCATTAAGACACACATCACTTTATTTAATACGCTGCCTGCAAGTCGCTGTGTTGTGCCAGACTCTCAATAAAACATTTAGGACAAACCCACGGTCATGAAGATACTCAACGTAACTTAACGTTACGTGGAATCTGCGTGAGGAAGAGGAGGAGGCTCCATGTCGCTAAATACCAACTTTCCAAAGACCACTTTTCCCACCCGGTGTCGCTCCGATCTGCCGGCGCATCGCGGAGAAAACCAATCGGGTGTCTGGATGCTCAATGTTTATACTTCTCATCCAACCACAATCACTCTGTCCGCATAGCGACATTTATCTAGATGGGTTTTTTGTCTTTGTGTTTTTGAACTACGACAAGCCGGAAGTAACGAGGCTATAGTTACTTTGTTATTAAAATGTAAGGAGTAGAAAGTACAGATATTTGCGTGAAAATGTAAGGAGTAGAAGTAAAAAGTCGTCTGAAAAAGAAATACTCCAGTAAAGTATAGATACCCAAAATTTCTACTTAAGTACAGTAACGAAGTATTTGTACATCGTTACTTGACACCTCTGCATGTCGTGGGTTTTTTGTCATTTCTTAGGAAACGTCGGAGCAGTTGTGACGTAATGTTTTCAGCGTGCTAATGTGGTTAATTTATCCTCAACGTCGGGGGTTTGCACAAACAGCCGTCACCTGTCTGTCTGCAGCCGCTTGGCGCTGCACCAGCACGAGGGGGGCGGGGCTTGTGAATTCTCACAAGAACAGGAAACAAATGCCGGTCAGATATCAAAACACATTTGGGGGGATTGATGACAGAGAGAGTTGTTTGTATTCTTAAATATTGATGGATGAAGATAATAGTTGAAGGGGCACTTTACTCATCCGGGGCAAAGGGGCAGGTGCTTGAGCACCAGTCTACCTGTGCACGTGCCTGTTTCTGCCCACCTGGTATAATGTTCATCTCCTTTCAGCGCTGCGGTCTGAATGGGGAGTTACGCCTGTGCATTTAGAAGATGCAGAGAAGAAGGGAAATGTGTCTTTACACTGCCCCAAACAACCCAAACAACCAGTAGTTATTGCCTCTATTGTAAATGGGAACATATGGCTCTGTTGCACACACACAGACACACACATGGGCGTTCAAACACAATCTAATAAGTGTTCCTCACTGTGGATTCTTCTCTTATCTCATCTTGTGGATGTGTACTTTTCATCTTACTTCATATTTCATTGTCCTTCAGTCAGAAGTCCATTCTAAGCTGGCACACACACACACACACACACACACACACACACACACACACACACACACACACACACACACACACACACACACACAGATAAAGCCCACCATGCTTCTCACAGCAACACAAACACAAAGTCACGTACACACACACACCGGCTGCAGCAGCGGAGCAGGAAAGCTGCTGTGTGAGTGTGTGTGCATGTCGAGGAGGTTTTGATGCAGCGTCCTTCCCTCTGCAGAGCCCAGGATCACCTTCTCCCACCAGGAAACGGAACAAGGAGCCCGCGGTCACGGTGAGTGGAGACGCCAAGCAGAACTGCTTCATACAGAGACACTGAGGGAGCAGCTTTTCCCCCCAGTGTGACTTCCAGGAGTGTAGATTACCCAGATGAGATGCATAGAATACATCATTTAGCACATTGGGACTATACACAACATATATGTAACCCACAGGACAGCAGACCAACAGTTAAATCCCCTCTGGACTGAGATCCCTCTGTGCTTCCACCCATTGTGTTGCATGTCTTGGCTTGTGTAGCAACCAGGCTGATTGTGTTGGTAAGCAGATGGACTGAGGTATATAGAGAGCTGCTAAAGACTTACATAGGGGACTATGATAGGACTGGCAGATTTATAGCTAACATAATTATTTACTTCATTCGCTGAAAAGACAATCGTCACTGCCAGCTTTGATTAGTTTAAAAGTCTTTAAGTTTAAACGTTATTTCTGAGCACCTAAAATGCACCTATTATACATATTGTATCTTCATGTGATTTATCTTTATTACGAGTAAACCTGGAGATCCGACTGCTCTGCTTTTTAACACCTACACCTACACCTAGCATCCTTAGCTAGTTAGCGGCAGCTGGGGAGGCCTGCTGGGCCTCTGGTTTGAGGCGATGGCTGCTGATGGAAGCAGCCTTCACCTCAGCTTCTCCTCCAGCTGTCAACCTCTGGATGTCAGCAGCGACTAAACTAAACAAAACATGAGCTTTACAAACCGACCTACGGTTGAATTGTTCACAGCCCCCTTTTTGGATTAGTATTCAGCATAACCATCAAGTTGTTTCAATTGAAACAGAGCATCATGGCGGCTGGCTGTAATGATTGTGAGAGGAGAGCTTTGCCCTGGAGTCCAAACCCGGCCTGTGTCTGTCCTTACTGTGAAGACTTCTTCTTGTGTTTTTGTGCCTTTCATTGTGCTTCTTTCTCTCTCTCCTTCTTTCCTTGTCATGACGAATAGAAGTTTTGCATTTGAACGCTTTGCTCTGTGAGATGAAACCTGAGCCTTGACTGTACTCGTATCGGCTTTGATTTCAGAGCATTCGTTGTGTAAGTCTTCCAGCTTCCTACAGGCTAATGAATAATAGCAGCACACCATTCAGCCCTGCTGAGTGTGACCTCAGAGCGGATCAGCAGGAAGACGTGCAGCCAACAGATTCAACATCACTGCTAGAGCGAGTTCGCAGTTAACCACCAACATAATTAAAGGCAGTCTTTGTAAATGATTGCTGTGGGCCAGAGCAGAAGTTCAGAGTGTTGCGATAGAGAGCTGATGGAACCACAAGTGTAGGGGAGGCAGATAGAAATGTGAATCAACCATGCAGTGTCCCTTAGGAATGTCTGCTTTACAGGCTGAGATGAGCAACCGAGTGCCTTGAATACCACGGAAGGTTCTGTCACAGCAGAGTTCTGATCCTTTGCCTCCGGTTCTCTCTCCCTGTCAGATGAACTGTGTGACGTTCCCGTCTCCTGCATGCCTGCCGGAGCAACAGCTGCTGAAGCCAAACGAATGGAGCTACTGTGACTTCTTCTGGGTAAACTCACCTTGGCATTTCGCAGCCTAATCGCTTTAGTGTTTATGAGCTGTTAGTCCGAGTCACGGCCGTACAGATGCTGCTGGAATCAGTGCAACTCTACAATCATATCAGCTTGTCTCATGACACTCATTTAGAAATCATGTCAAACATCTGCTACACAGGATCCCGGACGTAACCGCTTCTTCTCATCTTTCAGAAACGATGCATATGGTCTTTGTCTGTACATCTTGTCTTACATGTGTAAAGACTGGCAAAACATAAGCAGAAAACAAGTAACTCACAGGCTGTATCCCTACATACGAGATTAGATAGTTTTCTGCCACAATTTAGTTTTTGGAACAAGGACTGAATAAATATCAACCAAAGAAGTAAAAGCAACCCTTTCAAAAGGTCATTTACTTCTGCTGAAATTGTTGCTTTCCCCAATTAATCATCCTGCCTGAAATGCACAGACTCGATTGGGCGAGTGGCCTTTGCTTTAAGCCACTACTGTAAAGCCAAAGCTGCACCATTTGTTTAAGCTTTAGGACCGGTCCAGATGGGACGGCTTATGGGTCCGCCAGTTAGTGACCTCTGATCTACCAGGATGGATGAACGTGTGATTGATCAGGAATCAGGAAACATTTATTGCCATAATAAGTCAGACATACAAGGAATTTGACTTGGCGGTTGCTGCGTAACAGCAGACAGTACGACAATGGACGACAAGACAATAAATAAAATATTTTATTTTATTTTATCAAATAAAAATAAAATAAAATATAAGGCTATGGATTAGTTTAAAATAAAGGAATAAAAGTTCAAGTTAAAAATATTTCTAAATTATAAAAAATTAAGTGCACCAGCGAACAGAAGGTGACAAGTAAAAGTGACGTTTGCAGTGAGAAAGAAAGTGACCGGTGGAATGTCAGTCAGTGGGGGACCGGGCTCTGTTGATGAGCCCGACTGCCGACGGGAAGAAACTGTTGGTGTGGCGGGAGGTCTTAGTCCTGATGGACCTCAGCCTCCTGCCAGATGGAAGGGGCACAAACAGGTTTTGTCCGGGGTGAGAGGGGTCGGCTACCATCTTTATAGCTGCTTCAGGGTCCTAGAAGCGAACAAGTCCTGCAGGGACGGCAGATTGCAGCCGATCACCCTCTCTGCAGAGCGGATGACACGCTGCAGCCTGCCCTTGTCCTTGGCTGTGGCTGCAGCGTACCAGACGGTGATGGAGGAGCAGAGGATGGACTCCATGATGGCCGTGTAGAAGTGGACCATCATCGTCTTTGGCAGGTTGAGTTTCTTCAGCTGCCTCAGGAAGAACAACCTCTGCTGAGCCTTCTTGGTGATGGAGCTGATGTTCAGCTCCCACTTGAGGTCCTGGGTGATGATGGAGCCCAGGAAATGGAAGGAATCCACAATAGTGACGGGGGAGTCACACAGGGTGATGGGGGAGGGTGGGGCTCTGTTCCTCCTGAAATCCACAACCATCTCCACTGTCTTTAGAGCGTTGAGCTCCAGGTTGTTCTGGCTGCACCAGGACACCAGATGGTCAGACTCCACCTGTAGGCGGACTCATCCCCACCAGAGATCAGTCCAATGAGGGTGGTGTCATCCGCAAACTTCAGGAGCTTGACGGACTGGTGGCTGGAGGTGCAGCTGTTTGTGTACAGGGAGAAGAGCAGAGGGGAAAGAACGCAGCCTTGGGGAGAACCGGTGCTGATGGTCCGAGAGGCTGAGACATGTTTCCCCAGCTTCACGTGCTGCTTCCTGTCAGACAGGAAGTCTGTGATCCACTTGCAGGTGGAGTCGGGCACGTGCAGCTGGGAGAGTTTGTCCTGCAGCAGGGACGGGATGATGGTGTTGAAAGCAGAGCTGAAGTCCACAAACAGGATCCTGGCGTAGGTTCCTGGGGAGTCCAGATGCTGGAGGATGTAGTGGAGGGCCATGTTGACAGCATCGTCCACAGACTTGTTGGCTCTGTAGGCGAACTGCAGGGGGTCCAGGAGGGGGTCGGTGAGGGACTTCAGGTGGGTCAGGACTAGCCGTTCAAAAGACTTCATGACTACAGAGGTCAAGGCGACGGGCCTGTAGTCATGGAGTCCTGTGATCCTGGGCTTCTTGGGAACAGGGATGATGGTGGAGGCCTTGAAGCAGGCTGGTACGTGGCATGTCTCCAGGGAGGTGTTGAAGATGTCAGTGAACACCGGAGACAGCTGGTCAGCACAATGCTTCAGGGAGTGAGGGGAAACGGAGTCCGGACCGGCTGTAGTCTCTGAGACGGGTGATGTGAGTTCTCAGGCCCTCATGCACGTACATTTGCAAACGTAGCGTTCTCAGCGCCACAGCCGGCGTGCAGAGAGCGCTCGCTGTGACACTTTAGTTCACGCCGTATTTACATCAGGTGATCAGCGCCTTTCTCCTCCCACTACGCTGCACAGCGCGAGCATTTAAACGCGGCGTGAACGGACCTCCTTCTCTTTCTATCACGGATCAGAGAGAAGTCCATGTGTTATTTGGGTGGTGGGAGACGTGTGCGCTGTAGCAAAGCGTTGTGTACTTGTGCTGAGTGCAGACTGAGATATTCCCCCTGCTGATGCTGTGACTGTCTGAAATGATCCTGGTCCAACCATTGGAAGTTGGCTGCAGCGATGGAATGTGGACGCTGAGTAGGAGATGCAATGTCACCTTTGATTTCAGTTTCAGTTTCCACCGTCTGCGCTTTCAGCTCCGTGCGGCTTGTTTGTAGAAACCTCGCTGTGCTGTAACGCACACTTTGCAGAACGAATACGCCTGAAGTGGCCGCAAAAGTGTTCGTACACGAGACCCTATTTGCAATGATTTGAATGTGTCTGAAGTTGCTTTCCGTTGCCTCTGTGTGCTGATTCTTTGGTTGCATGTCCTTATGAGGAGCTGGCGGGCGTTTCTGTGTGCAAGATCACAATCGCCGAGTTGGTGCCCACTGCAGTAGGGTGATACATTACATCACTAGCTGTCCTCTGTTGATGTGTCTTGGACGCCCTGTGGCGTGACCTGTACCAGGAATCCCGGCATCACACCCACACAGCGGACAGCGAGCAGGAAGCTCAGTCCCTCTCAAACCTGCTGCTTCTGGCCAGTATGTCTACAGGCTCTTAAGTACCTTAACAGTTGCCTTTCAGCATTGATCTCATTCATTTAATCTTTTTGAATCATTTAAACCAGAAACGCTTTATTGGGAATAGTGAAATTTGGTTAGCGCAGCTTGAATTTGAGTTAAGACCTGATGTCCCGGCAGTGTGGCGGTTGCACAACTGGGATTCCGGAGCAACGAGGTTTAACTAAGAGTTTGTGTCATATCAGACAGAAAAAAGGTTTACTTCAATCTTTTAATTTAACTGAGTTAACTGACTAAAACTGGTACTGACACAAAGTCGTTGTTATTCTAGTCGAGTTATTCAGTTATCAGTGGAATTTAGAAACGGGCTTTTCTATTTTCTATTACTCGGGGGCAGTAGAATGAATTGAAAACTCAATAATCCCTTATTAGGTGGATTATTCAAAAAGAAAACATGCATTTGCAAAACATTTCCAGTTAGCATTCATTTATGTTACATGTCAGTCCACATTACAAATTCAACAACAGTATTAATATCCATTTGATCTTTTTAGCTTTACTACAGGGCTTGTGGCTGGAAGGATTGTGTTAAATGAGAGTATCAGAGCGGCCTGAGGCTTCATTTCATGTCGACTTTAAAGGCTTTCTCAAACATAAACACCTCACTGTGTTTCTGCTTCAAATCCGTCTTATCACCGATGGAGTTATTGTGCCTTAATGCAACCTCTTTCCCAGCATGCAGCAGGCGGTTAATTCGGTCACAGTGTGACGTGTTTGTAAGTTTGTTTATTCAATACATGTCTTGTTTGCTATCTGTGCTTATCCCGTAGGCCGATAAGAGGGATCCCCAGGGCAACGGCTGCATAACAGGATTTGAGGTCATTCTACACAAACAGCTGAAGGGGAAACAAATGCAGAAAGAGATGGCTGAGTTCATACGAGAAAGGTATCAGCCATCTCCCCTTTCTTCATATGAGGCCCACAAAGCTGTCGTTACAACAAACCACTTCCCCTTGCTTATTCATGTGCATCACTGTTTTGCACAACACAGGGAACGCACTGGGAGACGGTGACATTGTGTAAAGGCTGTGAGGTAATGAAACTCTCTACTTCCTTCTCAGGATAAAGATAGAAGAGGAGTACGCCAAGAATCTCTCCAAGCTCTCCCAGGTCCCTCTAGCGAGCCAGGAGGAAGGGTGAGTGACACTAAAACGATATTTCAGCGCTTGGAAAATAAGTATTTCCGCTTTAGAGATGAGCAGGCTGGAAATTATGTTATTTATATAGTATATTTTGTAATGATACAAATGCATATCTCTGTCCAGGAGGGTTGAGGGTGAAGGTGAGAGGCAGAACAATAAGTGTTTAGCTTTAGAGATTCAGTCTCTGATGATTGACAATCATGGCTGAAAAGAAACAAAGCATTTTATAGTTCAATGTGAGAATTGAATATATGTGTATGTTTGGGGTTTGGTCAAATATGCTGCTAAAAGCCATTTTCCTTATTTATTTTTGGATCATTATTATTATTTAAAAAATGATCTGGATATATTATTAAAAGCTTGATCAACCGTAGAGGTCGTGTCGCTGATTCTTTCCTGCGAAGTGACCTTGCAGCTTCTGTTCAACAGTAGCCGCTGGGTAAGTGAACTCGTGTTTTCCTGTGAAGTCCACTGTTTCTTCCCCGCCCCGCGGAGCATGCCAGCACTAGGATTGGCCAGAGTCCATGCTCATGTCACGCAACAGTGGGGATTATGACAGGTCTGCTGCAGCAGAATCACCCGTGCAGTGAGTCCAGAGCACGGAAACAATTGCCTTCATTATCCAAACAAAGCATTTTGACTTTGAAACACACTATTGTCACGTTATAGAGTGATTAATAGATCATTGTAATCAAACAGGGTTGGCTCAGGCGTGAACGCCTTGTCAAACCTCATTAATGAATGTACACAGGGAGATTATTAATAGTCGGGACAATTACCAGATATGATGATTTCTAAAGTATAGTGGAAGAACAACTACCTAAAAGTCATAAACTTGCTAAATGATCTCAGCAAAACAGTACTTCCCAACGTGGTCAGTACTTCCCTTTTATACATTACCATAGTACCTCTTTTGTGTAAAAAATAAAATACTAAAATATGTTGCTGATGTTCATTACATGGATGCATTTTAAATAGAAGAATAGTATTTATACATATTTATATAACGGCTGCCGCAGGTCTTGGGTTGAATAGCCTCCTGGTGCTAAAAGCTGCTGTAGAAAACAAGTTGTAGATGACTGCTGCATGCGAGAGGAAGCTGTAGCTTTTTTAGAGCTACATTTAAGATTAAGCCAATTCCATTCAATTCATTTTATTTTTTATAGCCCAAAATCAAAAATTACAAATTTGCCTCAGAGGGCTTTACAGTTTGTACACATACGACATCCTCTGTCTCAAAACTCTCACGTTGGCACAAGAGAAATTGGCAATGACTCCTGATGACAGTAATAGTAATGTGATTAATATTAATAATGATGATGATAGCAGCAGCAGGTGTCAGCAGGAACAGGATCCAGATGGAACCATGATCCATGGAAACCTGTGAGGCGAAAAAGCACAAATACTCCATGGAAGAAGCTGAATTAGTGATGTGCATTAATGAGATGTGAATTCTTATAGAAGGAGAGCGAGAGCGAAAGGAGGGAGAGGAGCTCGGTGTGTCCTATGAAGTCCCCGGCAGTCTGGGCCTATAGCAGCTTAACTAACTATAAGCGTTATCAGAGAGGAAAGTCTTAAGCTTGTCTGACTGAAAGTGGAAGCTAACCTTAGTGTAGACCTGTAGTCAAAGGGAGCGCCAACAGAAAAGCTAGCTTGCGTCATGTAGCCCAGCTCGACGCTGTGATTGATCTGCTAACTACGTCCTTTACGCAGTCTCACATTTTGGTTTTCACAGCACAATACGGCCATTATTAAAACGATGTTTACGGGAGAACGGATCAGATTGAAGAGCTTTTGTGGGAAGAAATGCGTAAATATGAGCGCTTGTACAAGCCGTCATTGGCGGACTATGAGGACGCCGGATGGCCTCTGATTCATGGAGGGAGATCTCCACAATCAGGAATCAGGATCAGGAATCAGGAAACATTTATTGCCAAAATATGTCAAACATACAAGGAATTTGTCTTTCGGTTGGTGCGAGACAGTAGACAGTGTAACAATAGACAACAAGACAGCAGTCTTGTTGTCTATTGTTACACTGTCTAGGAAGCTGAGCGGTGCCCGGGCGGCTAAGGACAAGCATAACGAGACGGAGTTGTGATTTGTAAGGATGCCATTATTAGACTCGTCTTTATCAAGAGATTCCAGAAGACGCCAGTTTCATGTGTAAAAGTCCTGAGGTTATTTTCAATAATGTCAGCCCTAATTTGACCAACCAAGAACAGCTTCACAGCTTCACAGGCTCGCGTCAGTTAAAAGATTACAAGTTTGTTCAGCCAACATTTATATAAATCTGAGAAAGTGGGCAGACGTGCAGACCTGCTTTAGCTTGGCCCCCCTCCCCCAGCAGTGTTTACAGGCTCATGTTCCTATAGGCATGGGGATGGAGGAGTAGAGTGGGATGGAATTGTCCCGTATAGAATCCAGATGATGCCACCAGGCTCAGAATGCCCACAGGCAGAAACGTGCAACACAATACTTTCATTATTCTCTCTGCTGTCAGAAGGAACAATTGATGTTTTGTTGGCCAGTTCCTACTATCGGGCCGGCCCAGAACCAGCCGTCTCTTTATCATGAAATGACCATTTGTTTGGTACCACTGCATCATTCCTGTTGAACTAAGTGAGGAAATGGCAGAAAATGCTAATGAAGTCTATCTTGAACTCTAAGTTCAAGATAGGTGGCCCGGCCTGTTGGACCGGGGATTCTCCAATTTGGTTACAGAACCGAGCCAGAACCAAGTTGCAGCCCGACAATTCTGTACTGATCATTGACAAATATAAGAATGCTTCTTACCCAGAGCAACATCTGAGTCTTAGCTACGAGCTCCACTTATCCCTTTGAAAGTGCTCCAACAGAATATGTGTCCATGAATGATACACACAGCGACATGTACACTTACCACTTATACAACAAAACGTGACGCTGGCGCAGTCAATGCCGAATACGCTGACATACGTAACATTTCTCTCTACCAAGCACCCAAATGATATTAATCACGAGTGCTGCTCACCTGTAACACGCATCACGACTGCATCTTGTACCACTCACAGAGATTCTTTCCTCCTTTCGCTCCAGTTAGGGAGACAAGGGGGGATTTTCAAAGCCAAACTCACTGTCAAGCGTCATTTTCCGCTCTACGTCTTGGATTGGGAGTGGCTGAGGGAGCTGGCGCTCGGATCCAATTGGCTGTGATGAGTCAAAAGAGAGGTTGACGTGCTAATCGGCCAAATCACTCCAATTTCCCCTCCTCCAGTTTCTCAGACCCAAACACACATTCTGCTTTACAAGTCTCTCACCTGGCCGTCCTCAGTGAGGTGTTCATTGGCAGCGCATTGACATTGGCTTTATGGAACTGGAGACATTTGGACCTGAATGTGTGTACAATATTTGTAGAAGAAAGAAATTGCAGTTACGTGGTCAACATTATTTCATTGTATTGTAAAATGTCCCGTATTTCATTTTTCAACAGGTTAACAAGACATGAAACTAGTTCACATTTTGATTGTAAGATCAAACTTTTAGACACATTTCTGACGTGTGGCAGACTGTACAGTCAGGAACATCCTCACATGTCCTCACAGGTCCTCACAGGTCCTCACATGTCCTCACATGTCCTGAAGCTAGAGCCTGTGTTCCTGCTGGATGCTTGTTTGACCAGCTTCCTGCCTCACTGCTAATGATCAATCATTAACTATTATATATCGCATGTCCTGTACATCCTAATCACCTGTTGAACTGTCTGTGGAGCTGCAGCTCAGCTCTCCACATTCACTGTGAATGTAACCTCAACGAAGCCCATCTGTGTGTGTGTGTGTGTGTGTGTGTGTGTGTGTGTGTGTGTGTGTGTGTTTGAGAGGGAGGCACGTTGTGCTTTTACTGCATTCTTCATGTAAAAGTATGTGTGGTCCTCTCTTGTGCACGATGTTAAACAGCCTCCCTGTTATCTGCTCTCAGGACTCTGGGGGCGGCTTGGGCCCAGCTGAAGAAGAGCCTTGCAGATGAAGCTGAGGTTCACCTAAAGTTCTCCTCAAAGGTCATTTGTCACACTTTTGTTCCTTTGTAAACAGCCAGCTGCTTGATGCCCACACACACACACAATAGTATGCTCATGCTGTACATATCGAGGCTCCTTGTGGTTTTATTTGCAGCCCACTGTACGTTCCGTCATGCTCAGTTATTTGCGCTGCTGAGGATCTGTTGGTTTCCACTCTGAGTTTGGCATTGACTTTGCTCCATTTGACGGCTGCACACTCAACTAAATTTGGCTGCAACAAGACATTTTTAGCTGTAAGGTTCATTTAAATATTAATGACTTAAACGGATGAAAAATACAAAAGTGAAAATGTATCAAGGTCACCTCATTCCATTTTCCTCGTTGCATATTGTATAGAAATTGTGTTTTGACATCTTTATTTGGAATTCTCCCCAGCACAGATGTTTTGTAGAACCTCGTCTGTGAGGAGCTCATTCAAATTGTTCAAATTCAAACAAAACTGTATGAAACGGTCCATACCTAATATAATACATCACCCAGCGGTTCCACCCCAACGCTGCTCCGGTAGCAGTGTGTGAATGATGTGCTTCCTGAGGACTCTGAGGGCTGAAACACAACACAGTGTTTTCAGCTTCTTCTTCATGGAGAAAGTGAAGGTTTCACCTCGACCTCTGACCTCTGACAAGGGGAACTGCTCTTCATTGGTGGATTAAGTGCAGAAGCAGGAATAGCCAGGTCAGGAGGTCAAGTGGAGCCGGTGATGTGATCCTCCAGAGATGCACAGATGTGCGGCACAGATGTGCGGCACAGATGTGCGGCACAGATGTGCGGCACAGCTGTAGATTGTTGAGTGAGAGGGAAGGATCTGAGTGGAAATGAGCTTCGAATAATTGTTTCCAATGCGACTGCAACAGGGAGCTGTAGCTCTCATTCACCTCTGACGGCTGGGACAAAACACCACATTGCTTATTAGGATCATAGAACGAACCACAAGGTTCTCATTTCAAAAACAGTATCAGCTTGTCACATAAGATGTCATATTGCGTGTTATTCACATTCCCTTCAATTGTACAAATCTGAGAGGAAGCCAAGCAATGTTGAGATAAATTGGTCAATTGGTTGGTAAGACGTCTGTCTCCTTGTATGAGTTTATGGGGAATAGTCCTCTGGACCCAATGGCATCACATGACGGACCTGGAAGTTGTAAACAATGTAAACGTTGGTCTAAAGCCCGGTGGCCTCCTCGCCAACAGGCCTGCCTGAGCTTCACTATGAGGTCTCTATGACCTTATATGATGGAATGCAGGTCAGCGCTGAATTATTGGTGTTCTTTGTTTTGAGCAGCTCCAGAGTGAAGTGGAGAAGCCTTTTCTGGCCTTCAGGGAGAACTTTAAGAAGGACATGAAGAGGTTTGACCATCACATCGCTGACCTACGGAAGCAACTGGTTGGTCGCTATGCAGCGGTGGAGAAGGTACTCACCAACACATGCAGATGAACAGCTGTGAGGTAGCACGGTTACGTCCTCATATGGCAGCAGCATTTCATGAAGCCTCTTGCTGATGATTAAAATTCCACATCTACATAAGCAGACAGCCGTTTCGCATCACTCGAATGTTTACTGCTTTTCTTAGAAGAAAATTGCCCCTGAAAGTGGTTTCTGAAAAAAACCTTCAGGTTCAATTTATCTGAAGATTCAACAGTGTTTTTTTGGGTAAAATATCATTTTTATTCAGTTCTGTTTTTAATATATTTATTTTAATACGTCACTTGACCTCAAATATAAATATATATTTCAGTTGATTCAAATCTATTTTATTCAAGTTTCAATTATTATTTTCACTCAGACTTTTGGCCCTGATCGGAATGAGTTTGATTGTTTCTATATTTCGGGTTTATATTGCTAGATTACATATTCAGGTGAGAGGGTGGGACGCCATCGCTGCGCTCACAGTGAGGAACTTCAGACGCTCAAATTGGGTTGTTGAGTAGTACGATCTGGGATGAATGGATTCTGCGATCCGTGTTGGGTCCAAACTAAGAACTATGAGACGTGAACATGGTGTATAGAACGTGTGGATTCATCATCGTCGCAGAGCCGACGTTTCCTGAAGGCAATGCGGTTCAGAAAGATTTACAATATTCTATGTTAAGCTCTCACTCCTGATGACACGCCCCTCTCACTTTATGCCACGCCCCCAATGCCTGATCTGGGTTAAAGGTCTGAAATTCGAAAAAAAAAATTGAATTTGAAAATGTAAAATCTAACTTTTTTTCAATTTAACATTGAAAAATTCAACCAAAAAACACCAACTTTCAGGTTTGATTTCTTTTTCAATTGATCAAAACTTTTGGCCTGGATTTGGCTGCATCAGAACTAAGTTAGAAATGAAAGCATGACATTTACTGAAAGTAGGAAAATAGGAGTGCGTGCGATCTGAGCATGTCTGTGACTCACTGTACCTCTGACAGGCCCGCAAGGCTCTGGCTGACAGACAGAAAGAGCTGGAGATGAAGAGTCAGCAACTGGAGATGAAACTCAGCAGCAAGTTTGAAGAAGACATCAAGAAGGCCCGCAGGAAATCCACTCAAGCAGGTCAGAGCTAGGGTCAAAGGTCACTCTGCAGGGTTACCGTGGGGTCACAATGTCACTCAGGTGTTTGTTGTTTAAGGAAGCCAAGAGCACCAACAAGCTCTGAACTGTGTGTGTGTGTGTGTGAGATAAGGAGGGGGAGCTAGCTGGATGCTAAGCTACCGACCATGTGGGGCTGTGTTTGTACACCACGTGTGTCTGTAGGTAGCTATGTGTGTGTGGAGGGACGGGTGTATTGGTCAGTAAAGTAGAAATCAAAGTAAGAAGGAAAGACTCGAGGCAAAGCAGATCTTGTTCAGAACAGTGAGGCACGATAGCGGTTCATAAACACAAAGTCTCTGGTTAAACAATGCAGTGAACATCAAAACAAAAATAACTTCTGCCCAGACACAGAGTGTCGCTGGTCCGATCGGCAGGGATGCAGGGATCGATTGGGGATCATGAGGACTGTGGGTGCTCTTGTAACACGCAAGTTGTATCCAAGGCAGAAGACGTTTTCCTTCCGCAAGTGAAAACCGGGGCAGCCAGACTTCTCTGTAGCAGCTGGAAAAAGGTTGAGATCCTGTGATCGACGAGGCTGTGTTGTCTCATCCGTCCACAGACCAGAGCCAGTTGGGAAAGGTTGAACAGACATACTGTCTTTAACTTTCAGGCCGAGAGAGAGAGGGAGCTCACAGAACTCACCACCCTGTGGGGTCTGTGGCTCGGCCAATCAGATCTCAGGGTTGTCTTACCAAGAGAGAGAAATCACACCTGTGGGTGGAGGCACAGCCGGTGAAGGTTCTAAGATGCATTCAGACCCCTTCACTGATGTCTATGACATCACAGATGTTCTTTGATGACTTGTGCACTACATGACATCATTCACCCATTCATACACTGATGACAGGAGAACCACACAGTGACACCTGCCCGTCAGTAGCTAATATCCACACAAGTCCTCCAAGTCCTCGTCCCTTGAGCCTTTAGCTCTGTCATTCTGCAGGTCACCTGGCATGTTGATTGGCAGGAATGGGTTGAAACGTTCCACAGGCTGAATACGAGAATATTTGGATCATTAACAGTGAGGTTTCACATTTATGGTCATGATGCTACGAGGCATCAGGATATCCCATAATAGACAAAAGCACTACACAGAGACTGCAAACGTTGGTGAATAAATACACGAGCAGTCAACTGAATGTCGTGGACACGAGGACGGAGGTTCAGCCACTGACGAGTTTCTTCAGAAGAAGACATTTCAGAAAATGTTTGAGAAAGTTATTTTTATTTTATTTTGGAGATCAGCGCGTTGGTTGGCGCCTGCTGGAGTAAAGTGTTTGATTTTTTACACATTTCTATTGCAGATATGTGGTTTCATCAAGCAACGCTTTAGAATTCCTTCCCCGTAGATGCAGGACTTTCCCTCATGCTTTGTGTCAGGGCAGAACCAGAGCTCAGCGAACATGATTCCATATTCTCCTTGTTTCTTCAGCCCTCATTGAAGGCCCCTCGGCCTCCGCTGTGACCCACACACCGTGTCGGTCTATTCACACGAGTCATGAGGCGCATCGGGAGCTTTTCTAACAGAGCGATGGAAGAAGAGGAAGGAACATTGTGCGCTGTAGTCTGTGTTCAGAGAGGCCAGAACCAGGACCAAGTCTACAGTCCCTGGGGGACACAACCATGCACAGTGATAACCAGCCTTCACAACACATGGGCTCCAAACGTTTGACTCCACGCGTCAAACTTTACAACGAAGTCTAATAATGAATGTGATCCATGACGTCCGTTTGGAGGATGGATTCTGTTTGGTGGCTCACGTTGGGAACATCACCACCAGTGTGGGGCAAGTTACTGAAAATGAGTATTTAGTTACAGTTACTAGTTACTTGTTTTAAAGGTAATTGAATTACTTACCAGTTACTGTGTATCAAAAGTAATTAGTTACTCTGGAAAGTAACTTTTAAGTTACTTTTATGTCTGCTTTTTAAATGTAATGAATATAAATAGTACTGAACAGTCAAACACAATAAACATATTTTATTGTAATCAACGGGGCAACAGGCCTTCAAATCAAGCAATAGCACAAAAGTCCTTTTTAATACTTAACTTAAAACAAAATAACAGTTTGAGGCAACTGACTGGACAGTTGACAGGATGCATCTCATCTCCAACACGGCGAGCGATCGATCTGCCGGTTCATCGGCTGCAGTCCGTGTGAAGTGGAGCCTGGTTGTTTGCGTGGAGCGGCGCCTGCAGCATCCGGCGCTCTTTCCTCATGAGCGACGCGACGCTGTTTACACGTACGCGACTATTCTGTGACTCACGACGTTTGTCAGGCAGCTGTTTACTTACTATTTGCCGGCCCTTCGCTTCGCGTCACAGAAGAGAGTAACGCCCCAACGGACTCATTTCAATTTAAGTAATTGTAACTGCGTTAATTTATTGAAAGAAATACTTCGTTACCGCTGAAAGTAGTGGAATTACAGTGATGTGTTTGTAACGCGTCACTGCCAACACTGGTCACGGGTCAGCTGGCTGCCTTCATGGCCTTTAGTACTTTGGCCCTTAGCCTGGAGACACATGTCATTAAATGAATAATAGTTAATACACTGCTCAGGAGTGAACTACAAACCAATCTTAGTACAGGAACAAAGTTTCCGTTTAACTATGAACAATGTGGAAAAGCAGCAGGAGACGAGCTGCTTGGTAAAAGTTTGAAATATCTCAGCGACCTGAAGACAGTGACTAAGAGTAAAGACGCCAAGTGTGTGATGTCATGACTCAACCAGGCACGAGCACATGCTGTGACACACAAAGACCGCTGCTCCACCTCGCACACACAGGCGCACACACACACACACACGCACGCACACACACACACGCACACACACACACACGCACGCACGCACGCACGCACGCACACACACACACACACACACAGGCGCACACACACACACACACGCACGCACACACACACACGCACACACACACACACGCACGCACGCACGCACGCACGCACACACACACACACACACACAGGCGCACACACGCACGCACGCACACACGCACACACACACACAGGCGCACACACGCACGCACGCACACACGCACGCACACGCGCACACACACACGCGCACACACACACGCACATACACACACACACGCACGCACGCACACACGCACGCACACGCGCACACACGCACACACACACACACACATTCACACGCATACACTCACACAGGTGCAGACGCGCGTATTCATACTCGCGCACACACATGCACGCACACACATTCGCACACACACACTTACACACAGGTGTACATGCACAGGTTCTCACACTCGTACATACGCGCGGACACACATACACGCACACACACGTTCGCACACACACGCACAGGGGGGAGCAGGAGTTGCTCATGGCGGTCTGGCTGCTGAGGGAAGCAGAGAAGAGACTGATGGCCAAACAACTTCAGGCCGGCGTCTGTGTGCCGATAACAGAGACTCATCTCCTCATGTTCCTCTGCTTCTTCTCCTTGAATCAACCACCTGAAGCTCTCGCCCCCTTTATGGAGCGCATTACTGTTTTGTATTTGTAGGAGAAGCAGCAGTTCTTCTTTCCATGTCTATTGATAGAAGCCTTTTAGGCCCATTTGCTGTGGTCTGTGCTGCAGCAGATGAAAACATGGAAATTCAATTTACGTCCCTTTGAGCCTCTTAAATCCCACAGAGCTGCCAATAGGTTTGTTACTGCAGTTTCAAAAGTATTATAAATAATATCCGGTCCATGTACCTCTATATATTGACCTATGTACTACAAGAACCTTCTATTTTAGCCCCTGAGTGTTTTCACAAATGTCAAGAATAGATTAGAATAAGTCTCTAACAATATACTCGTGTGTCAAACTGAGGCATCAGAAGTAGGTTCTTATAGTAACATTTCTAAACTAATCAGAGATTGCGTTCTGATTAAGGGGACAGCACACTAATGTCCACTAAACGTGACTGATAACCAATTATATACCTGCACTTATACCAGATACGTGCTGCATCTGGCTATGAGCTATTTCACATTTACACTTAAAAATGACAGTATTCATGTGAATAAAAAATAGCAGACATATGAGCAGTCGTTGAGTGCAGAAGATTGAATCATCTGCTAAATGATCAGCATCCTCTCCCCCTCATTCCATCTCTGATGAAAGGTGGTCTTTGGCGGCCAGCAGCACAGGCAGGGACAGATGGGACCATAAGGGATCATAAGGGGCTATATTCTCAGGCCAGGTGGTCTTGTGCGTGGCACCGATACTGTGCATGACTGATCATCAGCTGTGAGCGAATAACGAGTAAAATAGACAGATTGTGCTTTTTAAAGTTCAGTCCAGAAGAGAAACTTTGCTGGCCTTCACGTCTCACTGTTTTCTATTAATTGTCTCTAACAGGAGACGATCTGATTCGCTGTGTCGACCTGTATAACCAGTCTCAGTCCAAATGGTTTGAGGAGATGATCACCACGAGTCTGGTAAGGAATCATGCTTTTAATGTAAAAACACCTTTTATCAGACCAATTGGAGGCTGCTTTGACAGAGGATGCTGTATGAGTCCAAACTGGAACGCCATCTGGGCTATAAAAGATTAATTCAACAGAATTGAATTCTTTATATACTCACACCTCATAATAATTTACAATTTATTTAATTCCTTTTTTTAAAACTCATAATGCAATATGCATGAGAGATTACTGATGTGATAACTTACTAAGAGTGAATGTTGGTATATATATATATATTTCTAGCTTCATAGACGTACAGATATGATGTAGGGGAACACGTATCATCACTAACTGCTCTTCTCCCCAGGAGCTGGAGCGGTTGGAGATGGAGCGAGTGGAGATGATCAGACAGCATCTGTGTCAGTACACCACCCTTCGACATGAGACAGATATGTTCAACCAAAGTGTAAGTACTCCAATGGGTTTTACAGGTACTAAGGAAAGCTTGACCAGGTTATACCATTTTATCATGGTATAACCACGGATTCAAATTGACTGGGATTTTATGTAATGGACCAACCATCATCTGTCCATCATCTGGAAGTCGGGGGATTTACATGGATTTCAAAATGATTTACCAATAAAGATCTGGAAAGGCTCCTCCAAAGGCTGCCACCAATTGCCTTCACAAGTCACATTTGCATCACACAACTAGTAAATAGGGTCCGAAGTTTAATCTCAGTATGAATACACAAGTTCTGTGAAGGCCTCAGAGTTTGCCGGCGTGAAGTGGAACGAAGGAGCAGTTCAGAACTCGGCTTTGGGCCAAGTTGGCGAGGAACGTAGGGGCGCTGAAACCCAAGTTTCCTAAAAGAGGTCAGAGGAACCTGACAGATGTTCTGTCTTGAAGGCACGTTGTCAGGTGGGGTTCGGACCAGGGCTGTCAAACTCTTCTGAGGAAAGGGCCTTCATGCTGACCAAGGGGCCAGACCAGTAAAATCATGGGCGATGGTCCACGGATGGTGCACGGATTATCTGGCCGACAGGGGGGGTTGAAGGGATAGGTGGCAACAGGGTGGTGGTATGTGGAGATTTTAATGCACAAAGAACATTACAGGTGGAAACATGGAAGTGTTGCTGGCAGGAAATAACTTTGATGTTACAAACGTCTCCATCCAATCTGACTGAGGAACATTTCCATCTCTAGATGTGCAGAGCTGGTAGAGACGTACCCCAAGAGCAAATAGTATTGACTCAGGGGGTGAATACTTTGTTCTTAATATTGTTTGTGTCTCAATAAAAGCTATTTTGCACTTTCACTACTATGCATGTAGTGTTGATCAAACAGGGAAAAGTCTAAAATCTGTTTTGTAATAGTACAAAAACGGCAAAAGTCCAAGTGTTGTACAATACTACATGCAGGGCGCTGATTATGTATTTGGTTAGAATCAGTGTAAGCTCAGTCCAAACAGGCCCCTCGGGCGCTGTGCCACACTCAGCGAGGACCCCTTTCTTACAGCAGAATACATTTGTACTAATAAGGTTGTAGATAGATAGATAGATAGATAGATAGATACTTTATTGATCCCTCAAGAGGGAAATTTTACTCATATGTCTGCAGGTTGAAGTAGAAGTAAATTCAAATTTCCCATTTTTTTAATTTGACGTATGTCTATATATTCAAAAAGCTATGTACAATATAGACGCTGGGATGAAAATCTAATGTCAGGTTGGACTGCAGTGTTCTCCCTGGCAGGAGAACAATGGGAATTTGAAGTAAATCAATCCCATTATTACCCCACCTACTGTACACCATTAGAGACCACCTGAGGCGACGCTTGAACTCTTCTCTCTTTGTCCAGACGATGGAGCCGGTGGACCAGCTGCTGCAGTGTGTGGACCCGGCCAAAGACAGAGAGCTTTGGGTGCGAGAGAATAGGACTGGGGAGACCAGGCCAGTGGACATAGAAATCTGACCCCCGTGCAGACGCCCATCTGCACCCGCTGGCTCACACTCTGTTCCAGAGGACACATGCCTGAGGACCAACGAGGAGATGAAACCTGTGCTGGGATCTTAACCGTCCTCCCACTGATCCACTTGGGACGCCCACCAGACTGAGGGGTGGTCAGTCAGTGCTCAGTGGGGAAGATGGGCTCAGTATACAGGAGTAGTAGTAGAGAACCTTCAGCAATGCGTAAAGTGTCAGATGATGTCGGGTGCTGAAGCCTGGCTGAGATGGCACAGGGAAGTGGACACTAAGAAGCCTCTGCAATGGACATTTAAAGACCTGCTAATGTTGAGTATGTCATGCAGCTGCTTTTGCTCTGTGAGGTGATTCAATGATTCGCTTTTGTTTGACAGACGCTGCGAGGCAACAGGGTTGTTACTGTGTACCGGACTGAGACCAAAGTATTTTCATACTAATACTCACAATGGGTCTTTGTGCTAAGCCCCTCCCACCCTTTCTATTGTTACTACATTTTACATTTACAAACACAATATTTATCATACAGTAGGTCTTTGTTTCCAATGTTTCCAATACAAATAAACCAATGCAGCTTCTCGTTTCTTGATTTTGTCAAGTGAGGAAGGGAACTCTTGCTAACAGACTTATTAATGAAAACGGCCAATCCCAGCGATAACATCTGGTGTTAAAAGGTATGTCAACCCCCAGAGAAAAAAGCGTGCTTAACTTATGTTACGGTCTGACTCTCAGGCATTATTAAGCGGTGTGTGCGGTCTCATCTGCAGCATCACTTGGACCGGCGCAGCTCTACCAGGTATCAGCGCCACGTTGGGGTTCGCTGAGTTCTGCTCTCTTTACCGCGTAGATGCCCCTCAGAACTTCATAGCTAGCTAGCAGCAGGATTTGCTTTCATGACAGAAGGATGTAGAAATGAGACACAACTTGAGAATTCTCTCTCACAAATTGCTCTGGATTTCTTAGTAAATTTATATTTGAAATGATGGCAGATTACATTAGATCACACATTCTATAATTATTGTGTCTGTAGGGATTTTGACATTTTTTTGACAACATTTTGATATGTAATTATCTTTAATTAATTGTTGAGCTCTGGTAGCTCAGCTATGATTGTAAGTAACTTCTTGGTTGGGGTTTGACTAAAGTTAATAACATATTAAGGAATCTAACATTTAATTAGCACCAGTGTTACTTCATTCCCAACAACAATTAAGAATCAGCCAATTGCACTTTATGCTGATGTGATTTTTAGTAAATATACTCAGTTACTGTTCATATGAAAAATATTCTAGGGAGAACTGAATTATATTTTGATGATGTTCAAAGAGTCCTGTGTAAATATATGGGAGGTATAATTTGAAATGAAGGATGTTAAATATAGTAAATAGTAGTAAGAACGTATTATATTCAGAATTGATTATAGATCAAATATATAGATGTTTATATATGCAGTACCCGTGAACAGTTCTCATTCAGTTCAATGAGAAAATGTTTCCAGACATTTGACTCTTACTTTCTATAAATGAATATATATGAATGAATAACAATCCTCTCAAATATTTTACAGTTTGGAAACTGTAAGTAAGATGCTTTGATTAGATTCAGGGTCAGTGAAGCAAGGCTGTCAATAGATTTTTTTTTAAATGAACTAATTAATTACACATTTTAAAAATACATTAAAAGTTATTAAAAAATATTTAAAGTTTTTATCTTTTACAGAGTGGTGGTCCTCTGCAGGGTAGGTGTTGAGATGGAAGTAGCCTAGCAGCTAGCTTAGCCTAGCGGTGTGTGAAGTGATCTGCCACTCACCCCCCTTCTTTTTGACACTGATTCCTCTGCGGTTCTCCGCTGTATGTTGCACCTCTGTTTGTTTTACTTTCAATGCAAAAAGCTCTCTCCATCTTCAGCTACTGACTTGCAGCGGTTTCGTTTCCGGGATCAACGTTTTTTACACACGGCACAATGGAAGACCAGAAGTAAACAAAGTTGCGTTAACTGCGTTAAAATATTCACATTCATCTCGGTCATATTAATTGCAGAGATTAACGTGTAAATGTTGACAGCCCAAAAATATTTTACAATTTTACATTCTACGCCGTATTACTGTTTAGTAATCAAGCTAAACAGTAATACTAAAAATAACAACTCATAGTTGTCATTTTTCATTAATAAAATGGAAATATGTAACCAATGCTCCTTTCCGGGTTCTTGTTTTTTGTAATGAATGAGGCATATATACAGTATATATATATATACACACAATATTTTTACAAAAAAAATATTTTCACAACAATGACAAATGGTCTTAGTTTTAGCAGAGATCGAGTTGGTCTTTATCGGATAGTTTAGGTAAAATACATTGACACTATTTGTTATTGTCCTAAAATAAAAAATCTTGAAATTGTTTTGCATATCTTACTTGGTAACATGTTCATATTTGGTGATGAATCATTTACAAGCCATTTGTTTATAACCATTAATTTTTCATTACAAATTTCTTGAAAAAGAACCCTGCTCGCGATAAAGGGCCGATCGGACACCAACGACACTCGAGGAAACACAGATAACACCATCAAGAAGATAATATAGTTACCTACAGACAGAGGTTTAACTGTGAGGAACACACGTGGTGTACAAACACAGCCTGCTAGCAACACCTCGGCCACATGGTCGGTAGCTTAGCATCCAGCTAGCTCCCCTCCTCATCTCAGACACACACACACACACACCTCCCCTTCCACATGCATGAACGAATATTTGTCATTTAGATATTAGGATATTGTATAATAGTTGTTGATTTAAAATGGTATTGATCAGATAAGTATTGTTGGAAGTTAATCAACCCTGTTATACTTGAAGGAGTAGTTTTCTGTGATTTCTTTGTGCGTGTACTGTAGTGCTGGTTGCAAACATAGCCAGTATCCGAACTCAAACCTTCAATTCTTTGCTCTTAATGAGTAAATATCAATCATGAGACTTGATTTATAGTTTGGTTATTCGTCCCTTTTTAGGGTGGTGCCGCATTATTTACTTATTTTGTGAATTATCTTGTCTGTGACCTCCAACTCTCACTGGAGTGTTTCGCAGTCGAGTGTGAAGCGGTCGGGATGAGGATTAGCACCTCTAAATCTGAGGCCATGGTTCTCAGCAGGAAACCGATGGATTGCCTGCTCCAGGTAGGGAATGTGTCCTTACCCCAAGTGAAGGAGTTCAAGTACCTCGGGGTCTTGTTCACGAGTGAGGGGAAGATGGAGTGTGAGTTTGGCCGGAGAATCGGAGCAGCGGGGGCGGTATTGCACTCGCTTTATACCTCTTTCTATCTCTGCACTGGCCTGGCAACGCCTTGGGATCCCCCAGTCAGAGCTGTTAGATGTGGCCCGGGAAAGGGAAGTTTGGGGTCCCCTGCTGGAGCTGTTGCCCCCACGACCCGACCCCAGATAAGCGGCTGAAGATGGATGGATGGATCTTAGCAATTATTAATAATTCTATTGATGTCAATGATTTAATTTCCCAACGCCATTCCCAACAAATGGTGCCCCGCGTGAGACCATTCCCAACATTCAATTCATTTTATTTTGTATAGCCCAAAATCACAAATTACAAATTTGCCTCAGAGGGCTTTACAGTCTGTACACATACGGCATCCTCTGTCCCGAAACCCTCACATCGGCACAGGAAAAACTCCCCCCAAAAAAACATGCATGCCTCATTTATTAGAAAAAAACACAACAACCCGGAAAGTGGCATGGGATACATATTTCCATTTTATTAATGAAAAATTAGTTGTTAAAAAATTACAACTATGCGTTGTTGTACATACTAGTCAAAAGTTTGGACACGCTTTCTCATTGAATGTAAAAATGTGATTATCGTATATATATAATAGCACAGCGAGAGAGAAGTATAATAATGCAAGCCTGACTAGTTTGGACCTCTGTGAATGCAGAGTGTGCAATACAGCTGAGGGAATTTTGCTTTTTGCCAGCCTAACAAGAGTCTTTCTGATCCTGGGACAGTGCTGACTTCTGGCAAGTTGGAACACAATTACAGTACTGTTTCCCATATCCAATCTGTTTTCACATACAAATATTCCATTAAGCAGTAGATGTGTTGGATTGTGTTATTAACGTAAGGATCCTGCAGTTAGAGTCATCTCTACATCTCTGAGTACATTTTAAAAAGGTCCAATACACAAACACGTGACACACTAAATCATGTGCTCGTGACCTGAATGACTTGTGAAGTTTGAGCAGCTTCGAACTGAGATCTGCCTGGAAAGTGGCTGGTTGTTTCTTCTAATCGACCATTAGCTTTTTCAGAGAGTCGAGGTACGCTGGGATGAGTGAGCTGACCGACTCGTTGTCGTCGTTGAGGATCTTGTGCCCCCTGCCCTCTGAGCCCACAGGGCTGGGGGATCTGACCATGCCGGGGTACGGCGTGCTGTAACCCTGGTGGAGCAAAGACATTTATTTAGTTTTTTGTTCCGTTTGTTGTTCCGACGGTTGTTCCGTTTGGTTACCCCTACTACTCGTTCGCCCGACTACAGAAGCAGCCGGCCCGGACTCTGTCTCTCCCTCCCTCCTGATGCATTGTGCTGATAAGCTGTCTAACCTGCCACGTACCAGCCTCCATCAAGGTCTCCACCCTCATCCCCGTCCCCCAAAAAACAAGCATCACAGGACTTCACTACAGGCCCGTCGCCTTGGCCTCTGTGTTATGAATTCCTTTGAGCACCTTGTCTTGTTCCACCTCAAAACCCTTATGAGCCCCTCCTTGACTCCTGCAGTTGGCCTACAGAGCCAACAGGTCTGTAGACGACGCAGTCAACATGGCCCTTCACTTCACCCTCCAGCATCTGAAGAATCCTATTTGTGGACTTCAGCTCTGCATTTAACACGATCATCTCATCTCTGCTGCAGGACAAACTCTCCCAATTGCATGTGCCTGACTCAACGATTGTAGTCGACCCCTCTCACCCTGGACACAAACGTTTTGAGCCCCTTCCCTGTGGCAGGAGGCTGCGGTCCATCAGGAGCAAGACGGTTCCCTGCTGGAACTGTTGCCCCCGCGACCCGACCGCGGATAAGCGGTTGAAGATGAATGGACATTTGCAGTTTGTCAACGTGGAAAAATATGTACATACATACGCGTTTCAATGTACTCATGTTGTCTGTTCATATACGTTACATTGTATATTTATTTCATTCTATTATATTCTTATATAGCACCAATAACCAATACAAATATCTGTATGTGTAACATACAAGGCAAAAAATTAACGGATTAACTTGCACTTCATTAAATTATATTATGATAATTTGTATAGAGGACCAGTTAAAGCATCACCAAAGTAATTTCATTTCATCCTGAAATGAATGTTTGAGAAATTACAATCCATACAATAATTATGGAGTAATTTGACAGAAAACAAAAACGTCAATAGGTTATAGGATCCCAAAAGTAATTGTGGTTGACTGGGCATACATTCCAAACTGTACATCAATCCAAATCAGTAGCAGATTAAATCACTTCATTTGAATATGTTTAATGGTTCTAAAACCACATTTGAGGTTTGTTTGACTTTTCTATAAGTTTGACCAGCTGTGTGTGATGTGTGTTATTTCCATAGAAAAGAATGAAAAAAATAATCTTTTATAATCATATATAAAGGAAAATGTTCAAACTGCTTTTTCCTGGATAGTTATAATCACATTAGTACTCGTAAGCCCAGATGATGACTTGGTTCGTGATACTTACAGAAGAGTGTCCTTTGCCAAAACTGCCTCTGTTCTTGGTCCTGATCTTAGTGAGTGCTGACTCAGCAATGTCGGCTCGCTCCTCAGCGTCATCCAACTCATTGACGGTCTTCCTGTACTTTGCTAAGTTCATGTTAGCTTGCTCCTCCTGCAATTAAAAGCAGACAAGAATGTTATCAAGTAACAGGCACTTTATTTCAAGTAGGTAGCGAGGAGGAGGATGGGACGACGTACAGCCTGCTCCACTTGTCTCTTGTAGGCCTTCAACTTGTTCTGCAGCCTTTCCACCAGCTCCTGCATCCTGTGCTGGTTCTTCTGGTCCTCCTCTGACTGGAATAGCAGTTCCTTCAGACGGCGCTCGTTCTTCCGCAGCGTCTTCACAGCCTCAGCGTGCCGCTTCTGCTCTGAATCCAACTCCAGCTCCATCTCCTTTACCTGCACACAGACACACAACTGTGAGTTAAACTCTGATTGTTCATCAAGTGTTAATTGTTGTTTCCATGGAGAATGGTTCTATCTGGACGCTGACCTGCTGAGGCCCTGCCGACACCTGCTGCTATCATTATTATTATTTGTCACATATTATTACTATTATTACTGTGCACATTCATAACCGCCTTCACCTCGCAACCCTCAGGGTGGCAACACTACGGCAACACTGAAGGGACATACTATCTCAAATACAAAACACTAAACATGAGACAGTCCGTTACACTACAATCAAAAAATAGATTGTGTACGTGGACATTTTGTTCTGTGGTGGTAAAGGAAAGGTCAGGACGGTCGCATTCAGCATCTGGAAGAAGTCGTGGATACTAGACTGATAGGTCACTCCGTACCTTTCCCTCCAACTTCTGGATGATCTTCTTGCCTCCTTTCAGAGCCATCTGCTCGGCCTCATCCAGCCTGGTGCTCATGTCTTTGATTTGAGCATCCAAACCTTTCTTCACTCTCTCCATGTGGAGGGTGTGTTCCTGCTCCAGACGCAGCTCTTCCCCCACTCGAGCCAACTGAAAGAGTTACACCAGCCATTCGACATGAAAATACATCTACCTAAAGTACCTCTACTGATCTCATCTCTCAAATGTCTGTGTATGTTTTACCTCAGAGCTGGCCTTCTTAGACTTGTCCATGGATCCTCTTAGCGCTCCTTGCAGCTCCTCATGCTCCTGCAGCAGAGTCTGAAGATCCACCTCCAGCTTCCTCCTCGCACTAAGAGTTAACTGGAACTGAACACACAGAGTAATATTGAGAAAGTTATCAATGTACGTTGATTCTGCCAACACAGGATTGATTCTTAGCTGATGATCCTGCAGAGACACGTCTCTTCACCTGGTTGTTTAGGTCGCTGAGTTTCTCCCTGGTATTCTGCAGCTCCATCTCCAAGGCCTTGCAGGATCTCTCTGTGATCTCCAGGGATGCACAAGTTTCCGCCCCTTCACTAACCAATAAAGAGCAGCGTCGTTCCATGGCCAACTGCTCCTCCCGGCACGCCTCAAGGCTCCTTACCGACTCCTCCAACTGGGTCTGCAGCTCCTGGTACAGGAACAGTGATTCAGTCATTTAGCCTCCAGCAGTGTGTTAAAAAAACATACGGTATGTTACAGTCAGACCTTAATCTGTAGCTGCATCTTCTTGCTGCTCTTGCTGAGCTCTGCATTGCTCTTGGTGAAGAGTTCCACCTGTAGCTCCAGCTCATTGATGTCAGCCTCCAATTTCTTTTTCAACTTCAGCCCCTCTGCCTTTCCTTTCACCTCCACATCCAGAGTGGCCTGCAGGGACTCCAGCGCCCTCTGGTGGCATTTTCTGACAGGGGTGAATTCATCAAAATGTATTACAAATATTGAAAGAAGAGACATTGCAAAGAAGAACTTTGCTGATGTTATCGAAGAGTAGTACAGCAGATTAATGTGAGTAGCCTTACCTCTGAAGACAATGTTACAGAGTATTGGTGCCATACGTATCTTCCCTTTTTAGGCAAGACACATCATGAGAGGATGAACACTTCTCTTATACCCATTCAATGGAAGACTCTTTACACGGCGAGTAATTTAGGAATGTCTGGCATCTCAACATTACGCAAGCAGCGAAGGCAGAGGGGGGCGTCCACCAGTAACAATCAACCCACCAGATACGGCACTGGGTCTTTCAACCAATCAAACTACAGGCCTGTCACCCTGACCTCTGTAGTCATGAAGTCTTTTGAACGGCTAGTCCTGACCCACCTGAAGTCCCGCACCGACCCCCTCCTGGACCCCCTGCAGTTCGCCTACAGAGCCAACAGGTCTGTGGACGATGCTGTCAACATGGCCCTCCACTACATCCTCCAGCATCTGGACTCCCCAGGAACCTACGCCAGGATCCTGTTTGTGGACTTCAGCTCTGCCTTCAACACCATCATCCCATTTCTGCTGCAGGACAAACTCTCCCAGCTGCACGTGCCCGACTCCACCTGCAAGTGGATCACAGACTTCCTGTCTGACAGGAAGCAGCAGGTGAAGCTGGGAAACATGTCTCAGCCTCCAGGACTATCAGCACCGGTTCTCCCCAAGGATGCGTTGTTTCCCCTCTGCTCTTCTCCCTGTACACCAACAGCTGCACCTTCAGTCACCAGTCCGTCAAGCTCCTGAAGTTTGTGGATGACACCACCCTCATTGGACTGATCTCTGGTGGGGATGAGTCCGCCTACAGGTGGAGTCTGACCATCTGGTGTCCTGGTGCAGCCAGAACAACCTGGAGCTCAACGCTCTAAAGACAGTGGAGATGGTTGTGGATTTCAGGAGGAACAGAGCCCCACCCTCCCCCATCACCCTGTGTGACTCCGCCGTCACTATTGTGGATTCCTTCCGTTTCCTGGGCTCCATCATCACCCAGGACCTCAAGTGGGAGCTGAACATCAGCTCAATCACCAAGAAGGCTCAGCAGAGGTTGTTCTTCCTGAGGCAGCTGAAGAAACTCAACCTGCCAAAGACGATGATGGTCCACTTCTACACGGCCATCATGGAGTCCATCCTCTGCTCCTCCATCAGCGCCTGGTACGCTGCAGCCACAGCCAAGGACAAGGGCAGGCTGCAGCGTGTCCTCCGCTCTGCAGAGAGGGTAATCGGCTGCAATCTGCCGTCCCTGCAGGACTTGTTCGCTTCCAGGTCTCTGAAGCAGCTAAAAAGATGGTGGCCGACCCCTCTCACCCCGGACAAAACCTGTTTGTGCCCCTTCCATCTGGCAGGAGGCTGAGGTCCATCAGGACTAAGACCTCCCGCCACACCAACAGTTTCTTCCCGTCGGCAGTCGGGCTCATCAACAGAGCCGGTCCCCCACTGACTGACTATAACATTCCACCGGTCACTCCCCTTCACACTGCACATGTCACTTTAACCGTAATTCATCACTTTGTCGTCACTTTGTCACTTGTTCTTTACGCTTTACTTTACGCTTAATATTTTTAAACTTTTTTAATATTTTAAATTTGTAACTTTATTCCCTTGTTTTATACTAACCCATAGCCTTATTCTACTAACCCATTGCATTAGCATTTCATTTTGCTTTATTTTGTTACTTGTGCACTGCTGTCTTGTTGTCTATTGTTACACTGTCTACTGTCACGCACCAACCACCAAGACAAATTCCTTGTATGTTTGACATATTTTGGCAATAAATGTTTCCTGATTCCTGATAATCTTGCTGTCAAACTTTTTAAGGAGTGATCTCTGCCGGTCCTTTCAGCTATCTATATTATTAGCTATATTGCAGGTCAGACCGGATGCAGAAGTTAGAAGTTTAAATTTACAATTACATTATATACTTATTATACATCATTAAAGACCCCGTGCATTGTATTAATTGCAATTTAGAGTGAATTATAAAAGGGAATGGCAGACAGTTTCAGCTCAGTTTCCAGTAGTCCTTAATGTCCTTAGTACACTAAGGATTGAGGGGAGGCTGAGGTACCTAGCAGCTTCCATCTCTTCCTCCTTCTCCTGAAGTCTGCGCTCCAGGTCTCCTTTAGCTTGAGACAACTCCAGCTGTAACCTCAGCACCTTGGTCTCCTCAACCTGGGTGGAGGCAAGGAAGAGGGGAAGCGAGGAAAGAGGAAAAGACAGAAAATAACACAGATATGTAAAATGAACTGAACGAGTAAGAGACCCTATTGACTCAAATTAGCACAGCTAGATTACTGAAGCTATGCACCTCCAAAGCTGCTTCAGACTCTTCCAGTGAGGCCTGTAACTCTTCTTTCTCCATCTCAATCTTCTTCTTTGCTTTCTGGAGCTCATGAACACTTTTACCTCCATCTGAAAGCTGGTCTGTCAGGTCAGCTACCTCCTCTGTCAAAGAGAAGTCGAATTAAACCATTGGTTCGATACAGCTAATCCTTACAACGTCAGATGTGCACTCTCGTACCCTGGTAGACCTTGTTCTCCCTGCGTAGGGCCTCCAGCTGCTCCAGAGACTCTTCGTAGGTCGTCTTGAGTTTGAAGAGCTCGCTGGTGTGTTGCCTGCTCTCCTTCTGGCAGCCTTCCACCTCAGCCACCAGCTCCTCACACTTCTGCTTCCAGTCTCCTAGCTGCTTCTCCAGGACCTGCTGCTTCTTATCCAGAGCCTGACCGCAGCTGCTGGCCTGGGACAGGGAACATATGCTCAAAGACAACGAGAAACACATTCATGGCACTTATACGACGTGCTTCCTACCTTCTCCAGGTCTATGCACAGCTCCTCCACCTCTCCCTGCAGCCTCTGTTTGGTTTTCTCCAGCGACAAACATTTGGCTTGCGTGGCTTCCACAGCTTCCTCGGCCTCCTGAAGTCTGGTTGCCAACTTCTTCCTATAAAACACATTATTTGGACCACTGAAAAATGTTAAAACATCAAATGTGACAGATGTCAAATATCGTGGGTATCGGTACCTTGTGTCCTCCAGCTTGTCGGCGTGCTGTATGGCGTCTGTCTCATGCTTCGTCCTCCAGTGCGTCTTCTCGCTGTTGAGTTTGGAGACAAGACGCTGCAGCTCCTGCTTGCTCTCCTGCTCCTCCTCCACCTGCTCCTTCAGCACCTCACACTCCTGCAGCACGGTGCTCAGACTGCTGCTGAGCGCATGCTTACACTAGCAGCCACACCAGAGACACATACAATACAGAATACACAAGTGGGAGAGTGAGGGATCTGTTAAAAGGCATTTGGATACTGGATATATATTTTTTTATTATCTTTTTAGTATCGCACACACACACACACACACACACACACACACACACACACACACACACACACACACACACACACTTTGATCTCCTCGTCCAGATGTTTCTTTAATTCTTCCAGTTGGGATTGGAGCAGAGCCTTGGAGCGGCTCAGCTGGCTGGCTCTGGTCTCTGCCTCCTCCATCTGTCGACTTATATCTGCATTACCAGCTGAAAGGACACACAAGCAAATTGATCATCACACTGCAACATAGAGGGGCGTTCAGTACCGAACATACGGCAGTTCTGTAGCGATACCAAGAAAAACACTATTCAATTGGATTTGTTTGTCCTCTGAATGTTATAGTTTTTGGTTAGTTACAGATAGAACATACATGTTATATTACCTGCAGTGTGTTATTTGTCTTGTTGTCCAGTGTCTCATTTTCTTATTGTCCAATGTTATGTCGGGGTGCTGTATGGCGTCTGGACATGCACCACCCGCCATGTCAAATTCCTTGTACCTCTAACATACTTGGGCCAATAAGTGTTTCTGATTTCTGATTCTAATTGCTGATGTATTTTTGGCAACATAAAAAACAGTTTTATAGGCGTTATAGGACGTGAATAGAATAAAGTTCAAGATTCCTCAGTGTTCCTAATAGTGAGCATTCTCTTTTAAGTCCCAAATTTATGGAAGACCGACACAGAATCTCTACAAATGTCATTGCTGACAAGTGGAGTTTTCAAACAAAGCGTAGGTCAATATTCTGTTTATTATAGGTAGAGGTATACTGGGACACACTGCCTTTTCAATCATCCTACATGAAATACCTGAAGTCTGCTCCTGGTGTCACAGGTGACCGGTACCTACTGGTGGACAGTACCTATGAGTCTATTCCTCGTGTGACAGGTGACCGGTACCTACAGGTGGACAGTACCTGTAAGTCTGTTCCTGGTATGACAGGTGACTGGTACCTACAGGTGGACAGTACCTGTAAGTCTGTTCCTGGTGTGACAGGTGACCGGTACCTACAGGTGGACAGTACCTGTAAGTCTGTTCCTGGTATGACAGGTGACTGGTACCTACAGGTGGACAGTACCTGTAAGTCTGTTCCTGGTGTGACAGGTGACCGGTACCTACAGGTGGACCGTACCTGTAAGTCTGTTCCTGATGTGACAGGTGACCGGTACCTACAGGTGGACAGTACCTGTTAGTCTGTTCCTGGCCACACTGAGCTCAGTCTGGTTCCTCTGCAGGTCGTCTCCTCTCCTGTTGGCTTCTGACAGCTGCTCCTCCAGCTTCTTCATCTGGCTTTCTGAAGATGTCTGCAGTACAACAATAACTCACCGTTACAAATGTTAAACAAAACATTGTGATGGTAAAAAGGGGTCATTTTCCACTTGCATAACATGCAACCTGACATACTAACCTTTGCTTTCTGCAGACTCTCCAGCGAAGCAGTCAGCTCATCCACCTCCATCCTCAGACTCTGCTTCTCTTTCTCGAGTTTGGCTCTGGTCCGCTGCAGAGCTTCATACTGCTCACTCAGCTCTGCCATGGCATCACTGTGCCGTTTCTTCAGAGAAGCAGCCAGCACTTCCGACTGGACACAAGTTTCCTCCAGTTCTCGCCTCAGACGCTGCAACTCAGCCTCTCGCTTCTTGTTCACCTCCATCTGTAAATCACGAATAACATGCATTCACAGAACACTATAGCTACTTTCTATCATACTGAGTATTTCCTGTGAAGAGTAAAAAACTAGATAATATCAGAAATAATATATAATATAATATAAGACATTTTGACAGTATGGCTGCAACTGCCAAAAGACGAATGCAATAATGATCTGGATCCTGTTTGATTAAAGCGAGAACTTTCTTTTGTTTTTTTAAGGAGCTGACCTTTGTGATTAATGTCTTCACAGGTATTGGGTTGAAGTTCTAGTCGAGAAGCAGGTAGGTATATACTGTATATATATATATTTATATATATATATACAGTGACGGCTTGGGCAGTCACAGCCACACTGAAATTTTCTAGTTCTTCCTGTTGAGCTGAGACTTAAAAGTGCCTTTCCTCTAGCTTTTGACAGAAAAGTATGTGGTGTATAATCTAGTGCACCTTAAAAATATAGATATTTTACATTTTACTATGTGTAAATCTCAGAATCCAGAATGTCAGACACTGATACAGCTTTCGTAACAGCCAAAGGCACCGACAGTATACAGTAAGACTGTTGCAAACTGGTCTTGAAGTTTTACCTGTGACGCGGTGATCCCTCCTGCCTCCTCAAGTCGGTCAGTGAGATCATCCAGTTCTCTAGTTAGATCTGCTCTTTGCTTCTCCACCTGCCAGAAATGAATTCACTGTCATGTAAGGAGCTTAATGGAGAATATAGGGTACAACTTGATAGTAAATGGAGATGACACCAGGCTAAACCGTTATGATTTCTGTCATGGTACAATGTACAGCATGTATGATCAAGATGTAACCATTACTGATCCTCCATCTGGAGTTCCAATGATGAATATTTCTACTCTATTTTTACTTGTCATAGTATGGTTCGTACTTGAAAACCCTTCATCTAAATATTCACTAACAGTCGTTGGTCAAAGTAATGTGATAAAAACCTTGTCTGTATCCAACTTCATCTGTTCTGGCACTAAAGCAGTCGGACCTCCTTAGACAAGATATTTACCCTCCAGGGGTTCAGCATGATTGATAGCCCACAGGTGGAAATAATCTTTCCAAGGTCAGATGCCAGCAAAACCCCAAATGGTATCCAATGAAGGGGTTAGCTGCTGTTACACAGTCCAAATATTATCTGTAAACTATTGTTTCCTGTGGAAGTTATCCAGTATCTGTCCGAGTTCCCGCCTCTGGACCCGGGTAACGGCTGGGTTAGGTCACCCTCTGGTGGATCTGGGAGAGGTTGGCATTTGCACGCACCGGTCACTGTTCCTGTAATCACACACCTGCACCGGATCTACAATCACCAGGGTATACGAGGGAGAGCCTGCCCACCAGCCGACATCGGATCGTTACCTCTGTCACTTGTACCTGCCTGTTCCTGCATGTTGGATTATCATTGGACACCATCTGGGAAATCGTCACCTGGGATTCACCTTCATCACCTGCACTCCTCACGCCCGTTCCTGCCGCTCATCTACCATCGTATCATTCAATTAAACAGATGTTGTTCACTCGCTATCTGACTGCCGTGTCGTTTCGTTCTGCGTTTGGGTTGAGCCTCACTCCAACCCTGACAGTATGACTGGATACAAACATCCTCCAGAAGGCGTGTCCTGCTGAAAGTAATTCCAACATTCACTCTCCTTCTGGCTCCAATGTCTGAGAAAATCATCTGGCTCTCAAGCTGGTAAATGTGCTGCTGTGTTTCTGGCTACTTGTACTCTATAGTGGCTTTCTCAGACCTTGCTGATGGCAAAATTACAGTAAATGTATTTGGATATACAGATATTGATTGTCAACATGTGTTAGATATCAATGTAAAACAATTAATATTTCCGTAAAGGTTCAGCATGTTCATGCATGAATGATGAACTCCTCAGTAAAGTCATCAGAGAGACTCCTGTCACGCACAAACGTGGTACAACACACACAGAGAGAGTTCGTAATGAGGGGCCATTACACAAGGTGCTCTGTAGTTAAAAGTATCTGTTCTTTAGGCAGCCGTTGATGTTGAGACCGTCAAAGTGGAGTTTATGCTAGTTTATGCTACTGCGTTTTCAGAGCGACTCAGACGCAAGCCCCACTTGCGTGTCCCTTGCGTCGCTTTTTACATTACAGGTCATTTAGCAGACGCTTTTTATCCAAAGCGACTTACATTACACTTTAAACCCATGGCTTTTTCACATTTTTGCCCGGGGAGCAATTAGGGGTTAGGTGTCTTGCTCAGGGACACTTCGACATGGAACATGGGGCAGTCTGGACTCGAACCACCAACCTTGTGCTTCCCAGCACACCTTCTCTAACCCCTGCGCCACGACGACCCCACTTTTCACACCTCCTTGCGTCCTTGCCTGTGTCGAGACATTTTTCTAGGCTCGAAAAGCGGCGCAAGCCTCCCGCAGCACCAGGCTGCGATTGGTCCGCTAACTACGTCCTTTACGGAGTCTCACATTTCCGCTTTCATAGCCCGATACCGCCATTATTAAAACGAAGAATGTTTATGAGAGAACGGATCAGATTTAAGAACTTTTGTCGGAGGAAATGCGTAAATATGAGCGCTTATACAAGCCGTCATTGGCGGGTTGTAGAAGCGGGTTGGATTCACAGAGGGAGATCGCCGCAAACGCCGGTTTGCCGGTCGAGAGGAACAAAGTTGTGGAGGAAAATACGGGACAAATGTGTCCTTGATAAAAAGCAGCAGTGTGATGCACGGGGCAAAAGTCTATGATAAATAAATAAACAAGACGCAGAAGCACGCGCCGGCCTTTAGGCCTCCACGACAGCAGCAATGAGCCAAGCAGTCAACACACCTCAGGCAGAACAAGCAAAAACAAATGATACTCACTGGGGGGCTCAGACCCCCAACCTGTCGGCCACCAGCTCCATCCAATTAGCAATGAAGCTCAAAGGTTCAGTGGAGTTGAGGGGGGCTGCAGAGTGGGGGATTCTCTGGTGGTATGTCACTGGAAGTGACTCCTGTAATAATACTTTTGAACCACTGCTCATATGAAAATAGTATTTGCAGCGTAAACCTCACCTCTCTTTGCTCTGGGTTTGGTACAAGGATATTGACGGTATGTCTTACAGGTGACATACTGGTTGTGTGCGTGTCAGAGAACAATCCACTGCACAGTTTGAAGATCTCATGTATAATAGTGCTGTCTGAGACCTCCCGATTATCTGTGTGCGACCTGAGGGGCCGAGTCGAACAATAGACGTCCTGTCTGCAGCGGAGGTATGTTGTGTTTAGCTCCTCTGAACACACAGATAAGGACCTGCATGTCTCTGCCTGCTTCCTTCGTCGCCCGGGGGCTTTGGAGACGGGTGGGGGGGGCACCCGGTTACCACCATTAGCAATCCCACCCAGAGAGAAGAGAAATGTACAAAACGCACCCTCGGGGCCACTGTCACTGTAGTCAACACTCGGGCTGAAGTACGTCCCTCTGCATTTCTGCTCTTCTCTACTACAACGTGGAAAGTGCAGGCAGGTGTTAAGAGGGGCGACCAGGTTCTGAGGCTTGTGAACACACACACTAAAAGCATCTGGTTTGTAAAAACACGCACTTAACGTGCCCACCTTGGTAGATCAACTTATTTGAACTACTTATACTGTCTTACAAACACTTTCACATTACAAACATTACATGTCTTGGGAACTTTTGTGTGCCCAAACTGAACGTAAAACAAAATAATTAATTATAATTATTTTAGAGTTTCTAAGAAACAGCCGGTGTGTGTGTGTGTGTGTGTGTGTGTGTGTGTGTGTGTGTGTGAGCAGAGGCGCAGCACCAACACACATATCCCAGCTGCCCACAGATCTGCTAAAACACTGCAGGCCCATGTGAGCAGAGCCAAGCTCACCTCTGCCCAGTGAGAGGCTACGGCGTTTCTGTACCATACCTTGGCCCTGATGGCCCGCTCAGCTTCCAGCTCCTCCTCCAGCTCTTCAACGCGAGCCTGAGGAAAGAAAAAAGTGCAACCGTTTGTAGAATAACCGCTTGCTTTCGATAGATATGGCTAAACTAAAATTGAGGTGTTATCCTGTGGTTCTACATGGCAGAGAACGAATCTCAGGGCAGCACATGTGTGGTTGTGAGAACGTTTCATACTCCAGGGACTTGGAAGGGCCCTGACATTTTGCTCAGGTAGCAATTAATACCAAGAATGTCCGTAGCCACCATCATTATCTGTATGAAGCAGGCGTGGGTTTGCCATTGAGACTGAAACACATGTTGCCATTCGCATGACATTCATGGAATTTGGATTGTTGTTTGCTACTTGAGAGCAGCACATGTGTATGTATGCATGTGTGTATATATATATTAGGGCTGTCAAAAGGAACACTTAATCTATGCGATTAATGTAGCTGAGATTAATGCGATAAAATATTTCAACGCCGTTAACTTAACATTTCCACACTTCCTGTATGCCGAAACTAAACAAAGATGACGAAAGCGCCGCCAGCTGCAGTCAGTTAGATCGGCGGGAGCGAGACGGAAGCTGAAGATGGAGCTTTTTGCATTGGAAGTAAAACAAACTGAACTGTGTGGATATGAATTCCTCCACGTGTCAAACAGAAGTGGGACGCGTGGGAAATAACTATGGCTTTACGCATCGCTAGGCTAACCTAGCTGCTACGCCAGGTTTGAAGAGGACCACCACTGTGTCCCTAAAAGACGGGTTTGAAAACGTTCTGGCTAAATGTGGGAGATTGTTGGCTCTTCAGACACAGACGTTAAATGATGGAGAGTTGAGAGCAAAGAGCACGAGGACAAGAGGAAGAGTCGCTGGTTCAACATGTTCAACATGTTCCACCAGGTGGAAATCTGCCACCAAGATGATCAAATGTGTGGAGTTTAAAATACAATTAACAATTCAACAACAATGTCTAAAATACACACTTTATAAAGTGATTACTCATTACTGTAAGCTATTGCTGCACAGGTGTTCCGGTGTGGGGGCTTTTGTTGTGAAGGGGGAGATGGAAGTTGAGGTGGTGTTCAACTGTGAAAAGGTTGCGGCCGGTCTTTTGTTATTGACACAAGCGCACCAGAACTACTCGGCTACATTACTTTAACATTTAGTCTGTAGAAGAAAACGTTTAATCGTGATCAATGAATTTCAAAATGGGTATATATATACAAAACAAATGAATCGCAAATGAATATATGTATATATATATATATATATGTATATATATATATATATATATATGTATATATATATATATAGAGTCATTACATGCATTTTAACACACATATATATGTATATATATATATATGTATATATATATATGTATGTATATAGGTGTTGTAAATATTGTAAATATAAATACATTTACAATAACACAATAACGTGAACTAAAATGTTGTTAAAATGCATGTAATGACTCCCTGTTCAGACACTGCTTTTAAATGCCAAAAGTAGGTTTAAAATGTAATTGTCTATCCTTATTTAAATGACATGACGAAATGGGGAATGTAAATTAGTTTCCTCGTGTGCGTCTATTTACCTGATATTTATAGTAAGAGCATTTTGTTAAACACTCGGAATATTGATTCCGATCCTACCATCAAAACATCGAGAAAGATCTGATATAATCTGATAAATAAGTACATTTGCGTTTCACTGACTTTCGTGCTGCTGATGAATCGTTATTTTCCTGACATGCGAGCTTCCCTCGTGTCGGGTCGTGCTCTGCAGCTTCTATCTATGTCGAGGAGTGTGTCTGACATGTAGCTCGGGGCCACTCACAGGCTGCTCGCCGCCCAAAGATCTTCCTCTTGTTGTAGCCTGTTTGTATTAATGTCACAAAGGTGCTGCTAGGAAAGTTATACTACAATCACAACATAGCGTCATACTTTTCCCCACACATTTTTAAATGTTAACATTACATTACATTACATTACAGGTCATTTAGCAGACGCTTTTATCCAAAGCGACTTCCATTACACTTTTAAACCCAAGGCTTTTTCACATTTTTGCCCGGGGAGCAATTAGGGGTTAGGTGTCTTGCTCAGGGACACTTCGACGTGGAACATGGGCAGCCTGGAATCGAACCAACAACCTTGTGCTTCCCAGCACACCTTCTCTAACCCCTGCGCCACGACGACCCACCCAACATCAAAACCAAGATATAAAAAGTAGAATAAGAACTCACATGCCAGCGTAGGACCTCTGCAGAGAGAACAGCCATGGTGAGACTGACGACTGACTGTCCCACACACACACACACACACACACACACACACACACACACACACACACACACACACACACACACAGCTTCACTGGGGATCCCTGTGGCATTTAACTGTTCACACCCCCTTGTGCGTGCAGCCTTTCTTCTCTCAATCTGTTACTTGTTACATTCCGACTTTCCTTCACGGCTTCAAAATAAATATTGAGTCTCTCCTACGAAGAGACCACAGTGTAGCGTTCAGATGTCAGTCAGGCAGCATGGACTAACACAATTTAGGAAACTCTATGGAGGAAATTCTGAAAATATAATAATTGTCCATGAATTGCAATTGCAGCTGATGTCTCCTCACTGGTGACTGAGGAGATTTTAAAACCTTGTGCTGTGGGTGATCAGGTCAAATCAGTGGTATTAAAGACATTTGAATGAGATACACATGACCTGGCAGCACGATGGTCTTTATTACAGGAAATCTAGCTTTACAATGTCACAAATCAACTGCATGAAATACATGATTACTACAGACTCTTTGTTGTGATGCTTGTCAGGTTTAAGCCGTGGTTCTGTGGGTCTCACAGTTGTAATCTCTCATTCTATTTGTGGTGGTTGAAGTATTGAATCACTGTGGCTGGGTGTGAAAAAACCTTCAAGTGTAAAAAGTGAGTTCAGGCATACGACACAAAGGGTGTGAGACGCGCCACGCCAACACTCTAACAGCCTGAAGCTGTAGGCGAAACCATACGCAGCCCAAGCCCACGTGTCACATCCCTTGTTGTCTCCAGGTGGCTCACCACGGAGAACAAAGCTTAGTAGCACTTGGAGATAAAACCAAGAATTGTTTCTTGGAGAGCCTAAATGTCAATTTGTCCTAATTACCAAATTATAACAACATCCTATCAGAGAAATAGTTGCTGAAAACGCTGCTGATGGATCATCTGCTGCTGGATTTATTGACGTCGTACCACCAACAAAATTCCATTCTTCTCCAATTGTTTGAGGAGAAAGCAGAAGTCTTCCAACACCTCTGGTTAAACATCTGGTAACCGGAGAAAAAGCTCTTTCTTCTCAGATAGTGATGAACCTTTGCAGCTGAGTTTAACTGCTTTAAGGCTGCAGGGCTGTGACCGCCAACAGACCCGCTTCAAATGACAGAACGCCGTCAGAACAGATGGATAAAAGAATCCGATGAACTTTACGCCACAGCCAGAAGCGAGTGGGAGACTGCAGAACAGTCCAGAACACGCGAGCATGTGACAACATATCTCAGTGGAAACGTAACGTACTAAACAGGCTGTAAAACAATCATTCAGTTACTACAGTACAGGTGACCCCCAACTGCCCCACACAGGGAGGCAGGCGGTGTCAGTCTGGGTGCAGCAGCTATGCTTCACCCATTTGCAGACAGGTTGTGAAGTCCGGAGCTGAAAGGCAGGAATGCTGTGAGCTACAGCTGATGCACCGTAGCATCCTTCCAAACAAACGTCACTACTCTTTGGTTTTTCAGGGTTTAGGTGACAAAACACTCTTACAAACTCTTTCAGAGTTTTCTTTGCAAGAAACTGTATCCAATATAATTCAGACGTAACAACCAGTGGTCCTGATGGTGTTAGAGATGGTGGTGGAAACTACAATACATGTGATAATGATTGGTGTTCGAATTGTAGTTTGGGTGTTATTAGATAATAGTTATTACATTAGCATGTATAGATTAATAACTGCAATATGAATTAAAACACAATTTATAGTCATTTATGTCAACTAAACTGCTAAATTAGAATTCGTCTACACAAGTTCAAACCCGGGGAAGGACGCGTAATCCTTCCCTGATGCATTTCTTTCACATTTTCTCCCTAAAGAGGTTGTTTTGGAGGTTTTTGACTCCTGTCGGTTGTTCATGAGCAAAGGACGTAGGAAAGCCTCGCAGGGCAAACAATTTTATTTTGGATTATATGAACTGAGTTAAACGTGGTTAAAATGTGTGATGGTTTGCGATGTGTTATATTATGAGTGCCATGTTATGTTTACATGAGGAAGCTTTAAGCCATTGAATGTATTGTAGTATTTAGTGAACAGGGATCAGTCGGGTCACTGAGGGGTTTCAGATTCCACCATCAGATGACACCAGGAGGGAGTCATGTGATTCACGAGGGAGGAGCTGGGCTCCAATGTGCAGCCAATCACTCCGTCTCCCCTCACACCCTGAAGCATTGTCAGGATCACAGGACCCAATGACTACAGGCCCGTCGCCCTGACCTCTGTAGTCATGGAGTCTTTTGAACGGCTAGTCCTGACCCACCTGAAGTCCCTCACTGACCCCCTCCTGGACCCCCTGCAGTTTGCCTACAGAGCCAACAGGTCTGTGGACGATGCTGTCAACATGGCCCTCCACTACATCCTCCAGCATCTGGACTCCCCAGGAACCTACGCCAGGATCCTGTTTGTGGACTTCAGCTCTGATTTCAACACCATCATCCCGTCTCTGCTGCAGGACAAACTCTCCCAGCTGCACGTGCCCGACTCCACCTGCAAGTGGATCACAGACTTCCTGTCTGACAGGAAGCAGCACGTGAAGCTGGGGAAACATGTCTCAGCCTCTCGGACCATCAGCACCGGTTCCCCCCAAGGCTGCGTTCTTTCCCCTCTGCTCTTCTCCCTGTACACCAACAGCTGCACCTCCAGCCACCAGTCCGTCAAGCTCCTGAAGTTTGCGGATGACACCACCCTCATTGGACTGATCTCTGGTGGGGACGAGTCCGCCTACAGGTGGAGTCTGACCATCTGGTGTCGTGGTGCAGCCAGAACAACCTGGAGCTCAACGCTCTAAAGACAGTGGAGATGGTTGTGGATTTCCGGCGGAACAGAGCCCCACCCTCCCCCATCACCCTGTGTGACTCCCCCGTCACTATTGTGGATTCCTTCCGTTTCCTGGGCTCCATCATCACCCAGGACCTCAAGTGGGAGCTGAACATCAGCTCCATCACAAAGAAGGCTCAGCAGAGGTTGTTCTTCCTGAGGCAGCTGAAGAAACTCAACCTGCCAAAGACGATGATGGTCCACTTCTACACGGCCATCATGGAGTCCATCCTCTGCTCCTCCATCACCGTCTGGTACGCTGCAGCCACAGCCAAGGACAAGGGCAGGCTTCAGCGTGTCATCCGCTCTGCAGAGAGGGTGATCGGCTGCAATCTGCCGTCCCTGCAGGACTTGTTCGCTTCCAGGTCTCTGAAGCAGCTAAATAGATGGTAGCCGACCCCTCTCACCCCGGACAAAACCTGTTTGTGCCCCTTCCATCTGGCAGGAGGCTGAGGTCCATCACCAACAGACCTCCCGCCACACCAACAGTTTCTTCCCGTCGGCAGTCGGGCTCATCAACAGAGCCCGGTCCCCCACTGACTGACTCTGACATCCCACCGGTCACTCCCCTTCACACTGCACACGTCACTTTAACTGTAATTTTTCACTCATGACTTTGTTGTCACTCGTCACTTATTCGAGTTTAGTGCACAGAGAACAGTAGTATTACTAGATCCGGAGTTCAGAACTCTACAGTGGTTTGGAAAGATTCATCTTGAAGGACAGATGAAGGTTGAGTATTGGATGTGAAGTATGTAACTGCACAGCTCATTGAACAGGTTTACTCATCTCTTAAATTAGAGGCTGCCGATGGAAGGCACATACCACTCCTATTAGATGATTATCGAACAAAAAGGAAATAACTTGTGCCTTTTATTTTAAATTTTAAGTTTTAAATAACATTGAGATGTATTTCTTGCCAGTCTTGTGTGTGTATCCAAAACCTGATCCTGAACCTAGATCTTCTTTCTCTTTCTTTTTCTTGCCCAACTGTTTACTAATCCGTAAAAATCTGTTTGGTAAACTATTGTATTTAAATGTTAATAGAACTCCACAGACTCTTGTTTCCACAGACTGAGGAGGACAGACAGACAGACGACCCTTAGATTTGGGTCTTTATTATGCAAACAAAAAAAATGTTTGTAAGTAAAAATATATAAACTGAGAATAAATTATTTGTTAGTTTTGCTTACAAAACTATTGTTTTTGCCTGTGTTACGTCCCCTGACGTGACTCCGCCCCCTCTTGAGAAGAGGGCGGGGGGAATTATCTCTCAGGTGATTCACCACCTGAGAGGCCATTAGTGGGCTGATAAAGGCTCCCTGAGCCAGCGCTCTCATGCTCTCGTCTCTTCTTCCTGAGAACAACAGACTACCGTTCTGTGGGAAACGTCGAAGGCTTCTCTGCCACTTCGGTTTCTATTTTTCCTCCTGTTTTGTGGATAGACAGGGAGGTCACTATTGTTTTTCCTTTTCATACGTTAGGCCAGAAAGACCTTTCTAGAGGTTGTTTATTGTTTCGGTCTTTGACCCTGATGCCTTTTGCTTCCGTTTCAGTTGTCAACTTTTGTGTTGAACAAGTCGTTGACAAATTCTTTTTACTGTTGTTCAAACTTTGTTTATCTCGGCGTGATTGGCAGGCCGTAACAGCCTGCGAAACAAAAACCTTTGCTCTCGAGAAGAAAAACCTTTGGTCTCGGATCAAAAAGTTTTGTGGTGTGAGTTTGTACGTAGTGGGCGGGGCTTATGCTGCTGAATGAACCAGGAGTTTCTATTGGTGGATGGACTGGCCGCTCGCTGTCTGCAGCCATGTGGCCTCATGTCTCCAAGGAGGTACAGAGTACATGTGTTCGCTTAGTTAGTGGTATCCTGGAGGGAAGGTGAGGCAAACGTTATTGAGCATTTTCTTGTTCTTTTTGATTAAATTACACAAACATTACATTGATACTTTGACAAATACTACCTCAGGTAATCGCATAATTTCTTTCAATACAGCCTGTGCAGTACACTTAAACACTAATGATCTTTTCCAGGTTAACAGTAAATTCCTCAACAATTTAGTCAATTAAGAGTCCTTGTACCATGTCCATACATTTACAATCCCTTTCCAGTGTGATGCATGTGAAGCTGCACGACATCTGCTGCAGAAACAAAGGCAGGTGAGTCCGATGATGGAGAGATCCTCGGTGCAAACTGACAATGAGCCCATTTAATGAGTCCCTGGTCTGGTTTTTACCTTGATGGCTGCAGCGCAATTGCACAACTGTCATGTAATTGAGCATTTCCTCCTAGAACTAGTAGGTATGTCCAACCATTCATTTAAAATACATTTCCACCCTGATGCCATAGCATATAACTCACAATGAGCATTATATTTAATCTTAGTTTGCATGTAAAATGGCTGGAGAGATTTATTTTAGTCTTGTTTGTATTTCTCAAGGAGCACAACCTGATGGGGACAATGCAGAAGAGGCTTTGACTGTAGCCTCAGTAATCCAGTGGATGACTGGTCATCTGCTTTAGGTGAAATGGTTTCATTGGTGTCTGAGCATCATGCCGAACCACACTGTTACCCACGTGGCATCGCATTCCAAGTAGCCCACTTTAGATTATGAACATTCTAAACACTCCTGCAAACTACCAATACGTATGGTACAGAATTTAATAGGAGTGATACATTTGTTAAGTAGCTGTTGGCAGGAGCACGGTTCTGCGATATATGTTTAACTGTGCTTTGTCTTTGTTTTACCAAAGAATAGAAAAACAATGTTCCAGAATCATTTTATACTGCAGCGTTTTATGCCACCTTGTTATAACGCGAGTGAGCAAAATAAACAACCATTTACTGTGATTTAACACATGAGATGTGCATAAAGTATGTCGATTGGAAACGTCATCCAAAAAATGAAGCCAGTTGAAGGACATGCATGTAGAAGTCCTGTGCAGAAGAAGAGGAATCCACAGTACTGCAGCAGGACCTTCATGGCCCTCTGCTGCAGGGACCCAGGCTGTAGATCAGCAGTCAGGTTCCTCATGGTGTTCTGCCTGCAGGATCTGAGATGGACCAAACGCATTCATTACGATTATAGCAATGGTCTCATTTTTTCATAGTGTAGTCTAGACGATCTAATGTTCAGTCTTCATTTAGGTTAGAGTGATATAGCAAATGAATACCTCACGTTAAATTGCATTTTTTGTTATTGTGCTACATTTAAGTTACACACACTACCTCATTAAAAAAAATAAAAATAAAAAATAAGTCCACTTACCTCCGAGTCGCTCGTGACAGTCGCCTCCAGTGTTTAATGGTGGAAGCAGACAGCGAGCGCCCAGTCGATTCACCAATAGAAACTCCTGGTTCATTCAGAGGCGTAAGCCCCGCCCACTACGCACAAACTCTTTGATCCGAGACCAAAGGGATTTTTGTTTGAGAGCAAGTTTTTGTTTTGCAGACAAAAACAAGCTTTAAAGGCAAAACACACTTTTGTTCGCATGATAAAGACCCAAATGTACCTTCATAGACTTCTTGATGCAGCTTCAGAGAAGCCAAACAAGATTAGTATTTCCTTCATTTAGCCTTCTGTGTCAAGCTGATAATTAGTCTCTTTTCAAAGAGACTTGAGGAGAGCGCCAATGTCCGTGTACTTTTTGATATTTTGTTTTAGTTTACTTTTTTTTTCCAAAAATGAGAAACAAAAAATGGCCGTTTTCCCACAAATATATGAAGCGCAGGAGCTAAACAGGAAATACACACATTTTAACAGTCAACGCAATGAAAAGTTATGCTAAAAATGAGTCTGTATATTATAAAAAACGTTAAGAAATAAATCATCCGGGCCGAGTATGTTGGCAACAATAGTTGACTTTGGTTTTCATTCATCCATGTGCACTTTGATCCAATATAATTAATAATAGTTTATTGTCTAGTCACTCGTGGTTGCTGACTTGTTGCTGACGGCACTGATATTAATTTTCTGCCCTAAGGATTTTATGTAAAACCACATGAACTACATGTAAAATACTATGTTTACTGTGCCATACTTGGTCCTGCTGCTCCTTGCTCGTTCTCCATTGTCCAACGTTGAGGCCTTCTTCTGCTTGCAGCTTACAGCTGGTGTTCCTCATCTCCAGCTCCTTCCTTAAGAGACAAAACAATTATTCAATTAAAGTATGAAGTTTGCAACATCCACACATTTTTGGGTGGGTGGGAAACAGGACCACTGGGACAGAAAGCTTTGTCATTTACTTTTGGGCTCCCTCTCTGCAATGACTGGTCAAAACAAAGGAACCGACTGCACCTGGAAGGTGCTTGATGACAGCAGTTACTGGGGCTGCTTTAATTA